CAGGGTCCGAAGGCTTTGGGCCGTCCTCGACTGCTTTCCCAGGCCACAAGAAGAGAGCTGGATGGGAAATGGAGTAGCTAGGATACAAACCAGCACCTGTATGGGATCCTGAGCGTGCAAGGCAAGGACTTTAGTGACTAGGCTACTGTGTGGGGCCCTAAATAACAAATTTGCTATATTGCTGTTCTATAAATCAGAAGTCTAACACAGGTCCCACTGAATTAAAATAAAGGTGTCATTAAGGCTAACTTCCTGCGTCTGGCACAATAGCTCTATTGGCTAACTCTGCCTTGCAGTGCCGGCATCACATCTGGGTGCTGCTGTGTCCTGCCTGCTCCGTTTTCCATCCAGCTCCCTGCTTGTGGCCTGGGAAAGCAGTTGAAGATGATCCTCAGCCTTGGGATCCTGTACCTGCGTGGAAGACCTGCAAGAAGCTCCTGGCTTCAGCTTTGGCTATGGCTGTTGTGGCCAATTGGAGAGTGAACCAGCAGATGGAGGAGCTTTCTGTCTCTTTCTCCGTAAATATGCCTTTATAAGAAAAATACATTTTTGAAGATTTATTCATTTTCATTGGAAAGTCATATCTACACAGAGACGGTCCCAAAGACTTGGGCAATCCTCTATTGCTTTCCTAGGCCATAAGAAGAGATCTGCATTGGAAATGGGACAACTGAGACATGGACCAGTGACCACATTTTATTGTGTCCTTATTATTTTATTTGGCCTAATTTATTATGGCCTTAATATTATATCATTTTGTCTTTATTAGCTTTTGCTCATTATTTTCCTCCTTGTAGTTACTTAGATTTATCTTATTTAGCATTTTAAATTCAGCACTTCCTTTTTAAGAGATTTATTATTTTTGTTAAGATTTTAAAATTTGTACTAAAAAGTAAGATATACAGAGAGGAGAGACAGAGAGGAAGATCTTCTGTCCAATTCACTCCCCAAGTGAGCGCAATGGCCGGTGCTGCACTGATCCGGAGCCAGGATCCAGGAACTTCCTCCAGGTCTCCCACATGGGTGCAGGGTCCCAAAGCTTTGGGCCGTCCTCAACTGCTTTCCCAGACGACAAGCAGGGAGCTGGATGGGAAGTGGAGCTGCTGGGATTAGAACCGGCACCCATATGGGATCCCGGCGCGTTCAAAGCGAGGACTTTAGCTACTAGACCATGCCACCGGGCCCCAGCCATGGCTTTTGAAATCATTTGGGGAATGAGCCAGCATTTGAAAGATGTCTATCATTCTGACTTAAAAAAACGAAAATTTTTGCAGGACGAGTGTGGTGGCATAGTATATAAAGCTGCTAATTTCAGTGCTGAAATCCTATTATGGGTATGGGTTTGAATCCCAGCTGTTTCACTTCCGATCCAGGTCTGTGCTTGGGAAAGCAGTAGAAGGTGGCCAGTGCTTGGGCCCCTGCAACCATGTGGAGAGTGAATCAGTGAATGAAATATTTAACTCCGGCTTTCAAATGACTATTTAAAAAAACTGTTCTACTAGAGTAGGTCAATGCCCTAGCATTTAAGAAACTGGTTAGAATGCCTGTTTTCCATTTTGGAGTACCTGGAGCCAACAGGGCACCCCCATGTTTGCAAGGTAAGGATTTAGGCACTGATCCATTGTGCCAGGCCCTCAGCTCTAATTTGATGTGGCTCTAAGTGTGGCACAGCATGTTAAGTTGCTGCTTGTAAAGCCAGCATCCCATATCAGAGTGATGCTTCGAGTTCTGGGTCCTCGACTTTTGGACCAGCTCCCTGGTAATGTGCCTGGGAAAGCAGGAGATGGTCCAAGCACTTGAGTCCCTGCCAATCATGTTGAGATTCTGTACGGAGTTCCAGTGTACCCATCTGGGGAGTAAACCAGCAAATGGAATATCTTCCCTTTCTCTCTCTTGGCAGGGAGCTGGGTCAGAAGTGGAGCAGCTGGGACTTGAATCAGTGCTCTGATATCAAATGCTGGCATTGTATGCAGCTTAGTTTGCTGTGTCACATTGGCCCCATGCTTATTTAAAAAAAAAAAAAGATTTATTTGTTTCAAATTCAGAGGTACAAGACAGAAGGGGGGCCCGGTGCGGTGGCCTAGTGGCTAAAGTCCTCGCCTTGAACGCGCCAGGATCCCATATGGGCGCCAGGTCTAATCCCAGCAGTTCCACTTCCCATCCAGCTCTCTGCTTGTGGCCTGGGAAAGCAGACAAGGACGGCCCAAAGCCTTGGGACCCTGCACCCATGTGGGAGACCCGGAAGAGGTTCCTGGTTCCCGGCTTCGGATTGGTGCAACATTGGCTCTTGCGGTCACTTGGGGAGTGAATCATCGGACAGAAAATCTTCCTGTCTCTCCTCCTCTCTGTAAATCTGTCTTTCAATAAAAATAAATAAATCTTAAAAAAAAAAAAAGACAGACGGGGGCAGAAATAGATGGAGAGACCTGGTGTTTCAAATGGTTACGACAGCCAGGGCTGAGGCAGGTTGAAGTCAGGAGCCAAAGGCCTCTTCCAGGTCTCTCATGTGGGTGCGGGGGTCCAAGCACTTAGACCATCCTCTGCTGCTTTCCCAGGGGCATTAGCAGGGAGTTTGGATTGGAACTCCCTGTATAGGATGCTGGCACTGCAGTATGCAGCAGAGTGCTCACCCACACCCCAACTCTAAAGCAGAGTTCCCATTTCCTGGTTCACTCCCCAAATGTCTGCCATGTTAGGAGCCAGTAACTCAATCCGGGTCTCTTACATGGTCTAGCAAGAAGCCAGTTGCTTGAGCCATCACTGTTGCTTCCAGGTCAGCACCAGCAGGCAAGCTGCAGTCAGAGGCTGGATGCAGGCCAGAAAGCCTACATGGGATATGGGTGTCCTGATTTGTTTGTTTTTTAATTTAAAATTTTTAAAGATTTATTTTTATTGGAAAGTCAGATATAGAGAGGAGGAGAGACAGAGATCTTGCATCCCCTGATTCACTCCCCAAGTGGGCTGAGTTGCACCCATCTGAAGCCAGGAGCTTCTTATGGGTCTCCCAGGTGGGTGCAGGGTCCCAAGGCTTTTGGCCGTCCTCGACTGCTTTCCCAGGACACAGACAGGGAGCTAGATGGGAAGTTGAGCAGCCAGGATTAGAACCCACACCCATATGAGATCCTGGCATGTTCAATGGGAGGACTTTAGCTGCCAGGCTACTGCGCTGGGCCCTTAAGATTTATTTTTATTTTTATTGGAAAGTCAGATATACAGAAAGGAAGACAGAGAGGAAAATCTTCTGTCCGTTGATTCATGCAGCCGTGACAGCTAGAGCTGAGCTGAGCCAAAACCAGAAGCCTGGAGCTTCTTCTAGGTCTCCCATATGGGTGAAGGGTCCCAAAGCTTTGGGCTGTCTTCAACTGCTTTCCCAGGCCACAAGCAAGAAGGTGGATGGGAAGTAGAGCTGCTGGGATTAGATTTGGCGCACCTTTGGGATTCTGGTGCATGCAAGGCAAGAGCTTTAGCTACTAGGCTACCATGTTGGGCCCGGGCGTCCTGATTTATTAGCCAGTACGGTAAATGCCCATTCCTCCTCTGAGACCCAGATCTTAATTTTTAATTCCATGTACACTTTCCAAAGTATTTGTCATACTTGTCACAGTTTAATGTCCTGTGGGGGCAAGGGCTGTGTTGATCTTGCTTGCTGTCAATATTCCTTATTCCAGCCGTGTCTGATACAGTAGCTGCTCAAAGAATATATTTAAGTGGATAAATCAATGTAAAGACAAAATATTTGAACTCACAACTTATTTGTGCATCTGTTTCCTGGGATCAGATTCCAGTCCTAGTGGACCTAACTCACCACCTTGTCTGGCACCCATTTCCCGGCAATCAATCCAACTGTTCACATTTAAAAAATAATAATAATTTTAGGGCCCGGCATGGTAGTCTAGAAGCTAAAGTTCTTGCCTTGCATGTGCCGGGATCCCATACAGGCGTCAGTTCATATCCTGGCTCTTCACTTCTCACCCAGCTCCCTGCTTGTAGTCCGGGAAAGCAGTGGAGGACGGCCCAAAGCCTTGGGATCCTGCACCCACATGGGAGACCCGGAAGAGGCTCCTGGCTCCTGGCTTCGGGTCAGCCATTGCGCTCACTTGGGGAGTGAATCATCGGATGCAAGATCTTCCTCTCTCTCTCCTCCTCTCTGTATATCTGCCTTTCCAATAAAAACAAATCTTTAATAATATGTATTTTTAAAGTCTGTGTTCCCCTCCCCACATCTCTGCCATCTCCCTACTACATTACAAAATAGAACCATACTTCCTCCACTTGGATGTAAGGTTCTGACCCCATCCTCACTCCTAAAAGCTCTCCAGGCTTATTCGTCACATGCTTACTCTTTGCCAAGCAGTAGCCTACGGGTATACCGGCTAACTTTAATAGGGAATGCTCAGCTCTGTCAGTCCGTGAGAACACAGATACTTTCAGGCAATGATTCCTAAAATGTTAGGTTTCTGCCCTCTGCAGGTTCCTACATTCAGCAGAACTCTCCCGTTCAGCGTTGGGCCCCAGGCACAGGTCAGTACCGATCATGTTTGACAGCACACCATAGAGGGGCTGAGCACGAGATGCTCCCAAGAGAGCAAGGGCCCTGTCCCAGACAAGCACACTGTGGTGTCGGCTGCTGGCTGCTACTTACCCAAACCAATTCCGCTTCCATCCATAATCTTGGGCTGGGCATACTTTAAAGTAGGACAAGTTCCCAAAACAGCTAATTGTATGACAGTACTTTGTAAACCATTAAGTGATATGCAAATATACCAGATTCAGTTCTTACTTTCAGCATCACTACGCTTGCTTCAAGTAAATTCTAGCTCAAGTTTCTGCTATTCCCATAATGTATGTCAAAAGTTCTGAAAAAAAAAATGCACAAAGTAGTTACCCCAGGGCTAATTCCACATTGTACCTACCTTGGAGCTTTTACTACAGAACCCTACTTCACTACCCGCTTTCTCTGTCACTTTCCCTAAAAAAAAAAGAAAGGACACCAGTTAAGATTTCCAAAAGAACAACAGAACATTTATTTTTGAAATTTGAGGAAGACCTAAGTAATGGGAGTTGGGCCCTCATCAGAGTCCTCTGGGCAATCGGCAGCAGCACTGGCTGCTGGGGCTCGATGCTTCTCCAGTTTGGCAATCAAGTCTTTGGCTGGATTGAAGACACCGTTGGTCTGCTGGTCGCAGATGTAGCAGCGCGGAGTGGTGCGGAAATGCTGCAGCGCACACTTCTCGCAGAAATAATGCCTGCATTTGGTCACAACTGGGTTCTGGAAGGTCTGGCGGCAGATGAAACACTTGAATGGTATTTCCTCATCATCGCTTCCTACTTCATAATTTTCATCCTCATAGACGCCGTAGCGACCCTCATCGAGCTCACGTTCGATCTGCCACCCGTGCTTGTAATCTGAACGGTCATGGAGGAACTTGCAGCTGTCCCCGAAGCCGCAGAAGCCAGTCTCCTTGTAGTCCTTGCAGATGTCTGGCTGGTAATCCCAGCGCACGGTGGCCCGCAGATGCTCGGGGGCCCGGATGGGGCCCTTCCTCACCATCCCGGAGGAGGCGTTGCCCATAGACGTATCCTTGGGCTTCATATATTTCTGATAATTATTGATCCCCCGGTAGATCTTGTCATCCTCCTTGCCCCTCAGCTCTTCCTGAATCTTCTGACTGCGTTCGAAGATGGACTGCGCATCGCGGTCCTTCTCCGTATCCAACTCGTACACGGCCGTGGCCCCCATGTCTTCTGGCCCCACCGGTTTCGCCGAGCGGGTGGATTTGTAGACCACTCCCAGAGTCTCGGGCTCATTATCCTGGTCCTCGTCCTCACTACTCAAGTCGTAGGACGCTTTCTGCTTACCACTGCCGCGAGTCTTCTGGATCATTGGATTGTGGACCGCTCGTTTCTTCTCCGGGCGCACCACAGTGCTGCCTTCATCACTACTGCCGCCGCTTTCTCCGGACTCCGGGTTGCAGGCGGGGCGCTTTCTGCGGCCCGCAGCTCCTTTCCGTCCAGGCTTTTTGAAGAGGAAGGTGCACACCTGCTCTGTACTCTTTCCCGGAGAAAGTTGCTCCGCCATTTCGGTGTCGAAAGCCGCGAGACGGCCGTGGCGTCCCACGTCGCGCGAGGGTCTTTACGTCACAGTGCGTCGCGCGTCGTGCAGCAAATCGTCGCAAAAGAGGAAAGCGAAGGCGGGAGCGCAGGTGTTGATCACTTTTGAGCCTTGCCGGCTTCCGTCGCTTCCGTCGGCGCGCGTGGCACCGCCTCTCTTGTGGGCTGCCCCGGGGCTTAGCGGGAGGAACGCCGCATCCCGGTCACCTTTAGGGACCTACAAGCCGCGTTTTGGCTTAGGTAGCTGTGCCGCGATGTGGTTCGAGATTCTGCCCGGAGTCGCCATCATGGCCGTGTGCTTGAGCATCCCTGGAATGGCCACTGCATACATTCACAAGTTCAGTAACGGGCGCAAGGTAGGGCGGCTTTCCCAGGGCGCTGCTGACGGCCACAGCCGGAGCTCGCTGGAGGCGGGTGTTAGGGTACGAAGCCGGTGTCCGGGCTGGGAAACACCGTCAGCCTTTGCCTTCGCGTGCCCTAAAAGAGACCGCTTTGCGAAACGACGTGCCCCGTTTAAGCCGCATTGTGCTGTCGCAAAACCAACTCTTGAGTAAAGGTTAGGGTTTAGAACTGTCGACATTCGGAAACTGGGAAGGTAGGACGTAAAGAGGTCGGCACCAGACTTGCAGGAGAAGGCGAAGGCTCGGGGCGTGACTCTGTGTCACCGTACTTCTGATCCTAATTGCCCCGCTTTGCTTTTCACACACATCTTGGCTGCTTCTCCTTTGGTACCTAGAGTTGCGTAATTTTTCCTTTGGCTTTTTCATTCCAAGCCTTTGGGAATCTAATGGGAGATCCCGTTTCTTATATCAGAATTTTGATTTCCCCTCTTCCTAATCCTCACACCATGTCTAGAGAACACTTACGATTTAGATGTCTTTGCTTTTTTGTTTGTTTGTTTTATGATTCTCCTTTTGCTTCTAATCTACCGTTGTTTCTTACAGCTCCAAAGGGCAACAGTTAAGCATTTAAAAAATGAAATAAAATAAAAGAGGGGGGTGACTACTGTGCAACAAGAACAACAAAAGCCCAATGATGTTGGTTAAAATGGAAGTAAGAATTTAGGATTGCCGACCTAAAATGTATTGGTCTGATTTTATTTAGCAATTCTGGTTTTGCGTTTTTCAAGTTTTATTTATGCATTTATTTATTTATTTATTTGGAAAGATAGAGTCACAGGTTGAGAGGGACAGTTAGAGCTATACCATCCACTTGACATGCTAAATGACTGCACAAGGCGTGGGTCAACCCACAGCAGAGTCCTGGCATTTCTCCTAAGGCTCTCATGTCCCTTGTTGGGACCCAATTACCTGGACCATCTTCCGCTGCACTGCCAGGCAAACAACTGGAAACCTGGATCGGAGGTGGGAGAACTGGGATTTGAACCAGTGCTCTTATGGGATGCTGGTGTCACAGGTGGTGGCTTTCCATCTGCCGGGAGCTTCTTTTAGGTCTCCCATATGGGTGCAGGGTCCTAAGGCTTCGGGCCCATGGGCTTTGGCTCCATGGTTGTACGTTGTTAACTTCCCTTTTATTTTAGTAATGATTCCATTTTTTAGAAAGTCACTTTTAATAAAATATTCATTTATTCTTATCTGAAAGGCAGGGTTACAGGAAGAGAAAGACACATCTTTCACCTGCTGTTTCACTCTCCAAATGGCCACAATGGTCAGAGCCAGGAGCCCCTTCCAGGTCTACATGGGTGCAGGGTTCCAAAGCTTTGAACCATCCTCTACTGCTTTCCCAGGCCACAAGCAGGGAGCTGGATGGGAAGTGGAGCAGCCAGGACTTGATCTGGCACTTATTATGGGTTGTTGGCACTATAGATAAAGGCTTGACTTGGTATATGCCACTGCACCAACCTTAGAATGCCACTTTTCAAAAGTTCAAATGTCTATGTTTTGGGACACTTGTCTTTAACAATTGCAGTAATAATTGTCTTTTATTTGAAGGAAAAAAGGATTGCTCATTTGCGTTATCACTGGAGTTTGTTGGAAAGAGATAGACGCATCTCTGGAGTTAATCGTCACTATGTGGCAAAGGTAAGGTGACTGTGATGCTACCCACGTGCGAGAGTTGTGGGCCCAGTGCTGAATCCTCACTGTGCAACTGCCAGGATCCCCTATGGGCACCAGTTCGTATCCCGGCTGCTCCACTTCTGTTCAGCTCCCTGCTTGTGGCCTGGGAAAGCAGTTGAGGACAGCCCAGAGCCTTGGGACCCTGCGCCTGTGTGGGAGACCCAGAGGAGACTCCTGGCTCCTGGCTCCTGGCTCCGGATCAGCACAGCTCCGGTGGTTGCGGTCACTTGGGGTGTGAATCAGCAGATAGAAGTTCTTCCTGTCTCTCCTCTCTGCATATCTGATTATCCAATAAAAATAAAATTAATCTTTTTAAAAGACTTTAAATGTATTTTCTTCTTGTGAGGTTGAGCAGCCTTTTATATGTAAAGATTTGTTTGCCTATGTCTTATGCCTATTCTTTTGCCCATTTAAAAATCAAAAAAACACAAAAGATTTAATTATTTGAAAAGCAGAATTAGAGGGAGAAAGAGAAGATGTTCCGTCTTTTGGTTCTCTCCACAAATGGCCACAGCAGCCTGGGAGGGCAAAGCCAGGAGCCTGGGTCTCCCTCTGGATTTCCCACGTGGGTGCAGGGTCCCAAGGGCTTGGACCATCTTTCTGTGCTTTCCTAGGCACATTGGAGCTCGATTGGGAGTATAGCAGCCAGGACTCAAATTGGCACCCAAATAGGATGTTGGCACTGCAGGGACAGACTTATCCTACTGTCCCTCACCACCAGCCCTGGATTGTATTCTCTGATTCGTTGGAGGCACAGTGTGTGAGCAGGAGTTCAGTGGTAACCGGTTGTTCTGACTGGGGGAAGGGATTTGTTATATAAAGGTATATGTTTGCTGCTCTCAGAATACGCACACTAGACATCATTACAGGTTCTTTTTTTTAGTGATAATAAAATACAGTTCCATGTATCGCAGCTAGAGCTGTGTGGGACATGGAAGCACTTCCTTCAGTAACAGAATGCCATTTCAAAGTGAGGACACATGGTCCATCAACAGAATTCTCACATTCTTTTTTAAACTCTCTTTCAGGGTTTGGAGAACATTGATTAAAGAAGCATTTTCCTGAATGATGGGGGAAGAAATGCAATTAGGATCATCTACCCCTGTTAGAAGGCTGTGTAATGCATTATGTAACATGCAATGTGTTATATAGTGCTTAATAAAGATAAATTGAAAAAAAAAATCAAGAGCATCTCTTTTCTAAAGATTCATGTACTTATGGAATTACAGAGACAGGGAGAGAGGGAAAGAACATTCACCCACTGGTTCACTTCCCTGGTGGCCACAACCACTAGGGCTGCGTCAGGCCAAAGCCAGGAGCCAGGAACTTCATCCGGGTCTCCAGTGTGGGTGCAGAGGTGCAGGTACTTGGTCCTCCTTCCTCTGTTTTCCCAGGTGCTTTTGCAGGGAGCTGCTTTGAAAGTGGAGCAGCTGGCAATCAAGTTGGCACCTACACCGGATGCAGGCATCACAAGTGATGGTTTACGTCCTGCATCACATAACTGCCCACTCAAGTACTTCTTTTATTTGTTTGTTTTTTGAAATATAATTTATTTTGAACTTTATGATACAATTCCATAGGGTCTGGGATTTCCGCCCCCAACTCCCACCTCCCCCCCCGACTGATTTTCCCAATATGTTTACAATAGTATAGTCCTTTATAAGCAGTCATAAGTCCATCACTCTGTTATTTGTGTCCTGACATTGTTGGTATAGGCAGCGTCAGACAGTCCAACATCCCATTGTCTAGGTATGTCCAACAGTTTCATTGAGAGTCTATCTTTGATTTGGAAGTATGCATGCATTGTATCTTCACATCTGAATATGCTAGTTTGTATTCCGCTGTCATTATACATTGCCTTAACCAAGAAGCCATGAAACAAAGTCAAAAGCACTTTTTAAAAATTTTACTACAGGGGCCACCATTGTGTGTTAAGCTACTGCCTGTGATTCTGGTATCCTGCCTGACACCAATTTGAGCCTTGACTGTTACATTTTTAAACATGCTCCCTGCTAACTCACCTGAGCAAGCAGTGGAAGATGGCCCAAGTACTTAGGCCCATGCACCCATGTAGGAGACTGGCACAAAGCTCCTGGCTTTAGCCTGGCCCAGTCCTGGCCACCGTGACCATTTGGGTATTGAAACAGCAGATGGAAAATCTTTTCCTCTTTAATTCTGCCTTCCAAATAAATAAACCTGGGTTGGTTTTTTTTTTTTTTTTTTTGGTCTGTTTATTTTATTTTTTTTTAAAGATTTTATTTTTTATTGGAAAGGCGGATATACAGAGAGGAGAGACAGAAAGGAAGATCTTCCGTCCAATGATTCATTCCCCAAGTGACCGCAAGGGCCGATGCTATGCCGATCCGAAGCCAGGAGCCTCTTCTGGGTCTCCCACACGGGTGCAGGGTCCCAAAGCCTTGAGCCATCCTCGACTGCCTTCCCGGGCCACAAGCAGGGAGCTGGAAGGGAAGAGGGGCCGCCGGGATTAGAACCAGCGCCCATATGGGATCCCGGGCGTGCAAGGCGAGGACCTTAACCACTGTGCCACAGCGCCGGGCCCTGGTCTGTTTATTTTTGTTTTTAAGATTGGTCCATCATTATTGGAAAGGCAAATTTACAAGGAGGAGAGATCTTCCATCTGCTGGTTTACTCCACAAGTGGCCACAATGGCCAGAGCTGAGTTGATCTGAAGCCAGGAGCCTGGAGCTTCTTCCTGGTCTCCTATGTGGGTGTAGGGTCCCAAGGCTTTGGGCTGTCCTTGACTGTTTTCCCAAGCCACAAGCAGGGAGCTGGGTGGGAAGTGGAGCACTGGACATCAGCACTTGAGAGGATTTTAGCCAATTGAGCCTTCGTGCCAAATGATATTTTTTTTTCTGCACGAGAGTTCAGGCCAGCAGGGTCACCTGTACAGGTAGTTGGTCTGGATGTTGGCTGCAATCTCTGCCTCTCACTTGTCACCGTTGTTGAGCAGCTTCTTCTACAGCAGCTCCTCGTGTGTCTCCTTGGGCAACTCAAAAGTTGGGGCCCTCCACAATGATGTCCACAGTGCAGGCCTCGTGGCAAGAGCTGCAGTAAATGCGTTTGGTTGTCGATGTTGTAGCGCATGGTCCAGTGGCTGCCATTGGTCCTGGGCTCTGCCTAGATGGGGCTGGCCTAGGCCAGACACAGGGCCTCGCAGAGCTTGCAGGAAATGCAGCGCTGCTCCCTGGGTAGGTAGTGGTGCAGGATGTGCTCCCTGCTGAAGTGTGGGCTCAGCAGGCGCTTCTCACACCCGTAGTTGATGGTGGCGGGCTTGTGGAACAGGCAGCTGAAGGTCATGTCCAGCCTGCAGATGAGCTCAGTCCACATGAGGATGCGTGGCGCCCGGTGGGTCACCAACTTCACGTCCATCTCGGGCTCGTGCATGTTCACGTACCGGTAGGTAGCAGCCTCCGCACCTCTGTGGAGGCTCCTGCCCACTGGAGGTCCTGCACCGGTTGCCTGGGCCAGGGCCAGCAGCAGCCAGGGGAATGCCAGGCACTTCAGTGCGGGATGTGTATGTCCCAATGCTGGCTTGTCTGCTAAGTCCAACACTTGCCTTTAGAAGTGTTTTTTTACACCTATTTCGATAGATGTGCTCAGGCCACTGGCCTCAGAGCCATATATCTCCATTGTTAAGGGAAAAATCACCCTTTAAAAAAATTGTTTCCATTGCAAAGACAGACATACATGAAATTTGCTCTCTTTATATTAAATTTTAAAAAATTGAAAGATTTTTATATTTTTATTGGAAAGTTGGATTTAAAGAGAGGAGAGACAGAGAGAAAGAGCTTCTCTTCCCTGATTCACAATGACTGAATGGCCGGAACTGCGCCTATCTGAAGCCAGGAGCCAGAAACCTCTTCCGGGTCTCCCACACGGGTGCAGGGTCCCAAGACTTTGGGCCTTCCTTCACTGCCTTCCCAGGCCACAAGCAGAGAGCTGGATGGGAAGCAGGGCCACCGGGATTAGAACCAAAATCCATATGGGATCCCAGCAGGTGCACGACAAGAATTTAGCCACTAGACTACAGCACCGGGCTGCACAGGGTGCATTTTAAGCAGTGTTTTTCTCAGTGGTGCCCGTCTGCCAGCCCTCAACCCCACTCCAGGGCACATCAAAATGTCAAGGTTATTTTTCCTGTCACCCTGGAGGGAGGGCAGGGGAGGAGAGGAGAGGAGAGGGGAGAGGAGGGGAGGGGAGAGGAGACTGTTGCTGCCACCTAGTGGATAGAAGCCAGTACTGCTTGCAAACACGCATAAGAGAGCTCCCCATGACAAAATTTCTGGTAGCTGAACAATATTGCTGAAGTTGAGAAACCCTGAAAACAGGATAAAGGATATCCTAAAGGAACACAATAAGGTGAGTTTTTTGGGTTATGATTTATTTATTTTTGGGACCAGCACGGTAGCCTAGTGGCTAAAGTCCTCTCCTTGTATGAACTGCAATCCCATTTGGACACTGGTTCTAATCCCTGCAGCCTCGTTTCCCATACAGCTCCCTGCTGGTGACCTGGGAAAGCAGCCAAGGATGGCCCAAAGTCTTGGGACCCTGCACCCATGTGGGAGACCTGGAAGAAGCTCCTGGCTCCTGGCTCCTGGCTTTGGATTGGCACAGCACCAGCCACTGTAGTCACTTGGGGAGTGAATCAACAGATGAAAGATCTTCCTCTCTGACTCTCCTCTTCTCTGTATATCTGACTTTCCAATAAAAAATAAGTAAATATTTTTTAAAAATCATAACATTGCAAGCACTGGAATCCCGTATGGGTGCTGGTTTGTGTCCCAGCTGTTCTACATCACTTCCAGCTCCCTGACTGTGGCCTGGGAAGCATTAGAGAATGGTCCTAAGCTTGGGGACCCTGCACCCATGTAAGAGAGCTGCAAGAAGCTCCTGGCTCCTGACTTTGGATTGGCTCAGCTCTGGCCTGTGCTATCATTTGGGAAGTGAACCATCAGCGTTTTCCCCTATCACCCTCTCCTATATACATTTTTGTTATTTCTTAAAGATTTATTTATTTTTATTGGAAAGACAGATATATACAGAGAGAAGGAGAGACAGAGAGGAAGATCTTCTGTTCACTGATTCACTCCCCAAGTGTCTGCAACGGCCAGAGCCTGGGCAATCCAAAGCCAGGAGCCAGGAACCAGGAACTTCCTCCAGGTCTCCCACACGGCTGCAGGGTCCCAAGGCTTTGGGCCATCCTCTACTGCTTTCCCAGGCCACAAGCAGGGAGCTGGATGGGAAGTGGAGCAGCTGATACATGAACCAGTGCCTATATGGATTCCCGGGAATTGCAAGGGGAGAATTAGTCACTAGGTTAATGTGCTGGGCTCAATTTTCATTATTATTATTGTTATTCGCTTAGAACAGTCCAGCGTCCACAAGCTTTTTGTTCTCTCTTACAGCTGAGAAGTTAGTATTTGAGGTGGAGTGCTCAGGTCCACTGGGTAGCCCTGAATTTTTTGTCTAGTATCTGTCAATGTGTCCTGTGTACTTGTGACTTTGGATTTGATGTCAAGGTCTCCTGATCAGAAACGTGGCCATCCAGGAAGAGCTTTGCATAGTGCTTTGATCTTTTAGATTGGAAACAGTGTTGCTCAGCTATACGGTTGCCCACATTTAACGTGCTTTCTGTTTTGATTCAAGAAGCATTTAGCTGTCTGCTGCTTTGACTTGCTTAAGTATTTACTCATGGAACACACTGCATCTTCCCAACTAGACTGGAAGGTGGAAACCTTAGCGGTTTGCTTTCTCCATAATTCTTGCCACTTTGTACTTTATAGGTACTTACAACATGTGTGCCAGCTACTGGGTCCACTTGACATGAAGAGAATGTCGGCAGCTGGCCCGGGCTTCATGGTTGAGTGCCATTAGCTTTGCTAGGCATATATGGGAGAGGAGGAAGGAGCAAGGAGAAAGGAAAAAAATTGAAGAAGATAAATTAGAGGGCCCCGTGTGATGGCTCAATTGTTAAATCCTTACCTTGCAAGTGCTGGGATCCCATATGGATGTCAGTTCTAATGCCAGCGGCCCTGCTTCCCTTCCAGCTCCCTGCTTGTGGCCTGGGAAAGTAGTTGAGGACGGCCCAAAGCCTTGGGACCCTGCACCCATGAGCGAGACCTAGCTCCTGGCTAGGTCTCCTAGCTCCTGGCTCCTGGCTTCAGATCAGCACAGCTGCAGCCATTTTGGCCACTTGGGGAGTGAATCAGCAGATGGACGATCTTGCTCTCTGTCTCTTTTCCTTTTTGTATATCTGACTTTTCAATACAAAAAAAAAAAAAATCTTAAAAAAAATCACATCATTTGGGCTTGGCGCCATGGCCTAGCAACTGAAGTCCTCACCTTGCACGTGCCAGGATCCCATATGGGCACCGGTTCTAATCCCGGCAGCTCCACTTCCCATCCAGCTCCCTGCTTGTGGCCTGGGAAAACAGTCGAGGATGGCCCAAAGCCTTGGGACCCTGCACCCACGTGGGAGACCTGGAGGAGATTCCTGGCTCCTGGCTTCAGATTGGCGCAGCACCGGCCATTGCAGTCACTTGGGGAGTGAACCATCGGATGGAAGATCTTCCTCTCTGTCTCTCCTCCTCTCTTTATATCTGACTTTGCAATAAAAATAAATGAATCTTAAAAAAGCTACCTTTTAAAAAATCACATCATTTCTAATGACAGTACTATTAATTATAGTAGTAGGGAGCTGGCATTAATTTTGCAGGGAATTTGACGTGAAATAGGGCAACCCTAACTGTTGTGGACATTTGCGGGAATAAACCAGATGATGGGAGTTTCTCTCTCTAGCTCTCTCTCTATCAAGTAGATGCAAATACTGAAATAATGGTATCAGGAATGGGATCTATCCACCACAGAGTTTATGAGCTACCAGACAGTCTTCTCAGCCTTCACATGAATCATCTGGTTTGGTCTTCCCCAAAAGCTCTACTCTATACTAAGGCCTTATTGCATAAACTAAGAAAAGTATTGTTATTCCTGCATATACACTTATCACCATAATATTATACTCTCATTCTTGATTCATAAAAGACATCCTTGAGAATAGATTAAAGAAAAAAAGAAAATAGATGAAAAAAATTGTTGGGCACATCAGAGAGGTCCTAATCTCGGAATTTCAGAAAAAAAGAAACGAAAATTCAGTGAAGCTTTAACAGCTCTGAGTTCTGGGCAGATTACTGAGTGCTGCTGGCAGTCAGTATTTCAAGTGTCATATGAAAAGAGTAGTGTTTCCCCCCTGGGCTGTTGCACGGTGTACATGACTGAACATGTGCCAGGCATAGAGACTGGCACATGCCAAGGGGATCCGTAAATGCCAGCTGAAGCACTGGTCAAAACTGTTCTTCCTGGCCAAACCCTGTAAGCTCATTTCCTGCTGGGCTGGAGCTGCTTATGGCTCTCAGTCTGTTCCTACTATTGAGATCAGACAGTTTCTGTGTCTGCCTCTCCCCCTCCATTCCTCCTTGTGGGCTTCGCTTCTGATTGGTTGAAGCTTGTGTTGCCCTGGCAGCACTTGTAAACATTCCAGCTGGGAATTCTGGGCTGGGTAGTTGAGAGCTCCTACTGAGCTCTCAGACTGAGAGCTCCGCAGAGACTGCTTTAAAAAAGGATCTGTTCTCTCAGGTATCAGGGTTTGCTAGGGGCTGGGGGAGTTCACAAAAAGGACCTGCAGTGGTTTTCCCTGTTATTGCCCACTCCCTAAACTCGACCCTGCCGCGATCTCTTCCCATCGAATCAACCATCTGGCTTCTTTTTTAACAAGGGAAGAAAAAGAATCAGGAGAGGCCAGCAGGAGGGAGGGAGGCTTCAGAATGTGTGTCTTAGATGTGTGAGGATGAAAGCTGAGCTTCACTTTGGGCACAGCCCCCCCATCTCCCCTTCATACTGGGACACGGGGTTCACCAGGGAATGCCTTCGGCAGTTCTTCATACATGATGCCGCCACTTTATTGAAGGCCACAGGCTTGGTTTCTGGTCAGTGCAGCAATAGGCAGTGTGCTGAAAGCCAAGTCACTGAATGAGCAAGTCACCCAATGGGCAGGTCTCTGAAGGAGGAAGTTTCGCAGAAGTTGTGGTACTAACCAACTGTAATGGTTTGTTTATTTATTTATTTGGAAAGGCAGATTTTTACAGAGAGGAGAGACAGAAAGATCTTCCATCTGCTGGTTCATTCCTCAAGTGGCCACAATGGCTGGAGCTGAGTTGATCTGAAGCCAGGAGCCAGGAGCTTCTTCTGGTCTCCCACATGGGTGCAGGATCCCAAGGCTTTGGGCTGTCCTCAACTGCTTTCCCAGGCCACACGCAGGGAGCTGGATGGGAAGTGGAGCATGTGGGACACAAACTGGCACCCGTAGGGGATGTCAGTGCTGCAAGTCAGAGGGCTACCTTTTGTGCCGCCACATCAGTCCCCCTAACTCACTCTCTTTTAAGAGTCATACAACCTTAGCTTCTCAAAGCAGAGACTTGGATTCCACTAAAGGCTCAATTAGAAATCAGCATTTTTAGAACTCCCAAAAAACTAAGAATGATTCTACTGCATTTGATTTAAGACCTCATGGTTTTAAACCTGAAAAGCACTTGATTTTCAGGAAAGGTAACCCTCAGCACCTAGGCACACAGGCATGATGGCTCAATGCTGTGCACCCCAGCTCCATAGTCTTTCTCTAAAATCAGGTTTTTTTTTTAAAGATTTATTTATTTTTATTACAAAGTCAGATATACAGAGAGGAGGAGAGACAGAGAGGAAGATTCTCCGTCCAATGATTCACTCCCCAAGTGAGCCGCAACGGCCGGTGCTGTGCCGATCCGAAGCCAGGAGCCAGGAACTTCTTCCAGGTCTCCCACGCTGGTGCAGGGTCCCAAAGCTTTGGGCCGTCCTTGACTGCTTTCCCAGGCCACAAGCAGGGAGCTGGATGGGAAGTGGAGCTGCCGGGATTAGAACTGGCGCCCATATGGGATCCTGGCATGTTGAAGGTGAGGACTTTCACCGCTAGGCCATGCCGCCCCCCGAATCAGTTGTTTCTTGTGTATTGTGATTCTTCACAGGATAGTCTGTAGTTGTGTGAGTGTGCCCACTTGCATTTATATATTTATACAAAGAGCAATCGATTGAGTTTCTCTTTTCAGACAAAAGAACATGGATATGATTAAAAAGGGCAAAGGTCGAAAGGTGGTGACTGTAAATGTGGATCCTGCAAGGGAGAAGAAAGCGAATGAAGCCCACCACATTATGACTGAAGCAGCCATACCTGTAGTTGACAGTGCCATCAGAAATGCCGTTCAGCATGTGGAAGGTAGCAGTCCTGTGTGGGTGCCCAGACAATGGTCTTGTTGTAGGATGTTGTTGCAGGGAGACTGTTGGCTGATCGGTGCGAAAACATGGCAGCAACCTCGTTTCTTATCTCACACAAAAGAAGAATTTTCATGTGGACAAACTCTAGTTGGCAAAGCAAGATTTATTTAAAGGGAAGAGAGAAAGAGACTCCTGTCCTAGTGGCAGGAGGGGGCTCCAAGGGAGGAAAGATCCCAGGAATGGTGGAGATGGGGTCTTTCATGCACAAGGATCACCCCAAGGGCAGAAAGAAAAACAAAAAACTTACTCCGATTGGCAAAATTTTCTACCACCTTGCCCCAAAAACAAAAAGTGAGACTGGTAGCTTCCTTCCTCCATGCTGATAAACTGAGGTGCCACTTCTTTGACATTGACCAAAGTGGGACAGTCCGCTTTTTCTAAGGGGTTGATATGTTGCTTCTGTGCCTTTGTTCCCTCTCCAGTGGGAGAAAGTGCTTTCAGAAGGATTTAGGATAGGAGGAAGCCCTGTTCTTTTACATTTTAAAAGATTTTACCAGAGGAACACAATTAACATTTAAAGGTTATCTCATCAGAAACCCTAACTGTGCCAGGACCCGTTACCATCTCACATCATGTCTCAGCTGGATAGCTAATACATTTACATCTTGATTTCAGAGGCTACAAACCCCTATAAAAACATCGACTGGATCACTCATGGTGAATTCACAGTGGAAAAAGGCCGTGAACAAATTGACCAATTCATAGCGGTAAGTTAGTTGACCACTGCAACTTTGGTACACAAAGGTAAGGAACAGTAAAAAGGCTGTTTGATCAAAACTTTGAAGTGCAATCACATATTTAGGTCTCCTAAGATGGGGTGACTAGGACCCATGTTCTAAATCCTTTCTAATTATTTTCTAATTAACCAATTTGCCTCCCAAGTAAGGATGCAGAACATGGTGTGCCGTGGACATACACATTTGAGGGCATGCCCTTCCAGTCTAAGTCTCAATCTCAAGTGATGTTTGTGTTTCAGTTCCACTTTTCTCTCTTCCACATGTGGGGGTAATTGAGGAACTGACTGCAGTTTGGATTCAGATTAAAAAGTGTTGAGTGTGCTACCCATCATGATGGCTCAGTAGCTAAATCCTCACTTGCGAGTGCCAGGATCCCATATGGGTGCTAGTTCATGTCTCAGCTGTTCAACTTCTGTTCAGCTCCCTTTCTGTGGCCTGGGAAAGCAGTAGAGGACGGCCCAAAGCCTTGGGACTCTGCACCTGTATGCGAGAGCTAGAAGAGGCTCCTGGCTCCTGGCTTTGGATTGCTTTGTTGTTGTTGTTGAAGCCACTGGGGAGTGAACAAGCAGATGGAAAATTTTTCTCTGTCTCTCCTTCTCTCTGTAAATGCGATTTGCCTTTCCAATAAAAATAAATCCTTTTTAAAAAGATTTTATTTATTTTTGTAAATATTTATTTAATTTTTATTGCAAAGTCAGATATACAGAGGAAGGTCTTCCATCCACTGACTCACTCCCCAAATGACTGCAACAGCTGACTCACTCCCCAAATGACCGCAACGGCTGGTGCTGCGCCAATCTGAAGCCAGGAGCCAGGAGCCAGGAGCCTCTTCCAGGTCTCTCATGCAGGTGCAGGGTCCCAAAGCTTTGGGCCATCCTTGACTGCTTTCCCAGGCCACAGGCAGGGAGCAGGATGGGAAGCGGGGCTGCCGGGATTAGAGCCGGTGCCCATATGGGATCCCAGCGCATTCAAGGCAAGGACTTTAGCCACTAGGCTACCATGCCAGGCCCAAAAAGATTTATTTTTATTGGACAATCAGATATACAGAGAAGAGGAGGGACAGAAAGATCTTCCATCCACTGATTCACTCCCAAAGTGGCCACAATGGCCAGGGCTGCACCGATCTGAAGCCAGGAGCTTCTCCCAGGTCTCCCATAAGGTGCAGGGTCCCAAGGCCTTGTGCCATTCTCGATTGCTTTCCCAGGCCACAAGCAGGGAGCTGGATGGGAAGCGGGGCTGCTGGGGCATGAACCGGTGCCCATTAGCCATTGGGATACCACACTGAACCCAAAAAGAAATTTTTAAAATAAAAATGTTAGGAGTAGAGTACAAAAGAGCCATATCACTGTTGCATGCTGCCTTTATTTACAGAATGTAAACATAAGCCTTCTTTACTCTGTGTACTTTTTTCCTATGAAAACAGACTTGGGAGCATGAAGGAAGCTGGGTGCATGCCACAGAATTTGCAGAGAAGAAAGATTTAATCCACTCCTTCCACTATATCTACCACGTATACTGGAGTTTTACAACTCCTCCTAGACCTCTGGCAAAATTCAGTGCTCTTGCCTACTTCATCATCAAGTTCAACAAAAGCAAACCTCCGGTAAGCTATGCCCATCTTTGCTGCTCTCTAAAGTGAAGCTTCAATGAGAATGGAGATTTCTTGCCAAGTGCATGACTGACTGTAAAATGTAGTGGTCATATTTCTCCTTGGCCTTTCTGTAGCACTTGCCACTGCTAATCCCTCTTCTATCAGAGTTTCCATTTGGCTTCTAGAACTACATGATTTTCTGGTTTTCCACCTTTCCCACTCACCCTCCTTTTGGATTGGGTCTACTTTTTTTCTGCCCCCATATCAGCCTCTCTGTATGAAAATGTTCTGAAATTCAGACCTTGCACCTTTTCTCTATACTCACTTCTTTGGTTGGTTATTTTGTCCAGTCCCATAGCTTGAAATGTCACTTGCTGCCTACCCTACATTCCTATCATTCCCATTTGGATGCTTAATAAAGATCTCACTGACAGTATCTAAATATTTTGACCTGACATTTCCAAACCTGACACATTCAGTTCCTTTACCTCAGTAGAAGGCCAAATTCATGGCGTCTTCCTTCCTTTTTCACTTCTCACTCACATTCTTTATCCAATCCCTTAGGAAATCCTGTTGGCTCTAAAATATGTTCAGAATCAAGTTTCTGTCATTCCCCTTCGACCACCTTAGATCAAGACACCATCCTCTCTTCACCAAGATTACCTCCACAGCTTATGAATTGGCTTATTTGCTTCCTTGCCTTGCCCTCATCATATCCTTTCTCTCTCTCTCTTTTAAAGAGGAAACTCAGGGCTTTATTTTATAAGATAAAGGCCATACTGTCGACCCAAACCCATCTCCCACCCTGCAATATCATGTCCTTTCTCAATATAGCAGCCAGAGTGAGACCTGTAAAATGAATTTCTATTACTCCTTGGTTTAAAACTTTCTAGAAGTGCTTCTCAAACTTTGAAGTATACATAAATTACTTAGGGATCTTGGTAAAATGAAGGTTTTGATTCAGCAGGTCTGGACTGTGGCTCAGGATTCTGCATTGCTAACAAGTTCTCAGTCAGTGCTAACACTGCTGGGCCAGACCACATCTGAATTGCAAGGGTCTTGGAAGACCTTGTGTGATCTGGTGTCCCTTGCTATGTCTACTTTCCCATCATCCTTCTCCTTCTTACTCTGCTCCAGACACTCTGATTTCTTAACAAGATGTATTTGAAAGGCAGAGTTAGAGAAATTCTACATTCCGATCTTCAAAAACATTTTTTTTGGGGGGGGGGGGTAAAAATTCATCATTGGCTTTTATTGGAAAGGCAGATTTACAGAGAGGAGAGACATAAAGAAACATCCTTCAACTGCTGGTTCACTCCCCAAATGGCTGCAGTGGCCAGAGCTGAGCCAATCCAAAGCCAGGAGCCAGGAGCTTCTTCTCTAGTGTAGTGTCCTAAGGCTTTGGGCCATCCTCTACTGCTTTCCCAGGTCACAAGCAGGGAGCTGGATGGGAAGCAGAACAGCCGGACACGAACTAGTGCCAGTATGAAATGCTGCACTTGGAGGTGCAGGATTGATCAGTCAGTTCAGCTAACATGCCAGCCCCTTTAAAAACATTTTAAAAACAAGATTGATAGGCCTGTGCTATGGCATAGTGGGTTAAGCTATAACCTGTGACTCTGACATCCCAAATAGGTACTGGTTTGTGCCCCAGCTGCTCAACTTCTGATCTAGTTCCCTGCTAATGCACCAGGGAAAGCAGGAAGGTTTCTGTCTCTTCTCCCTCTCTGTTTTCTATGTGGGAAGAAAGGGTAAGGGAGAGAGAGTGAGAAAGAGGGAGAGAGAGATATATATGGAGAGAGAGCGAGAGAGCGCAAGAGCAAGAAAGGAGTCCTTCATCTGCTGGATCACTCCCCAAATAGCTCAAACAAGTAGGGCTATTCAGATCAAAGCTAGCAGCCTAGAACTCCATTGGGGTTTCCCCCGTGGGTGAGAGGGGACCAAGCCCTCTCCACTGCTTTCCCTCGTGCATTAGCAGGGAGCTGGTTCAGAAGCATAGAAGCTGAGACAGGAACCAGTGCTCCAGCCTAACCTGCTGCGCTACAAAGTCAGCCCCCAGACACTGATCTTGGTATTCCTCAGATAAGCCAGGTACAATCTCACTTGTGATTATATATCCCTCCGCCAGCTATCTTACTAACTGGCAAGGTTAGAGATACCAGGAACTAAGGCTGGTGGAGATAAACAAGAGCATACCAGAGACAATATATACAGAGAACTTAGAAGAGCCCTTGACCATGATTTTGGAAGTAAGTATGTCTGGGGACCACTGAGACAGTATTATGGATTATACTTTATGCTATTTAAAAAAATTTAATTAATTTATTTGAAAGTCAGAGAATCTTTTATCCATTGGTTCATTTCCCAGGTGGCCACAATGGCTAGGGCTGGGACAGGCTGAAGCCAGGAGCTTTATCTGGGTCACTCACATGTGTGGTAGTGGTGCAAACACTTGGGCCATCTTCTGCAGCTTTTCCAGGATATTGGCAGGGAGCTGCATCAAAAAGATAGAGCAGCTAGCAAATGAATCAGCACTCATATTGGTTGCCAGTGTCACAGGCAGTGGCTTCACCTACTATGCAACGACATTGAACCTGCTTTAAAATATTTTCAAGCCTCGTTTATCCATTTAATGCCTATGCCACTTCTAATTGTCAGTTGAGCAACCTGCACCATGTAAGAGAAGTAAATGTCTTATGCATGCTCCTCTAAAGGAGGGTTAGGCTCTTGTGACCTGCTTCATGTTTTGTGGAGGTTCTTATTTGCTGCCTAAAGAATCTTTTGAGGAACAGAGGTTTCAAGTGACAAAGAATCATCACGCACAAATCCCCAATTCATTAGGAAGATGAACTCTGGAAATTAAAAAATGCACATATGGACACATGTGGGGATGGGAAATGAAGAGTCGGTCTGGCTGATTGTTTTCCTTCTCTCTCTCAGCATATGCCTGTTGATGTCTTGTATTACTTCGAGGAGAGTAAACTGATTCATAGGTAATAATATTGGGAGATTTTCTTAGGGGTGAGGGTAAGGGGGAGGTCACCCCATGCCAGGAATCCAGCAGGCTCACAATCGCAGACAATTCAAATAGCAATTTCCTTTTTGGAACATCTGCCCTATTAGAATGGGCAAAAAAGCAGGATTCTGCCGTTGCTTTGGAAAATTGTTTTTTCTTAGCATCTGGTTCTTCAGTTGTGAGAGTATGGAGACAAAGTGGGTCATGCTCATCGTCTCTGCGAAAACTTCAAAATTGCATAGAATTAATTCACAAATGTTCCTTTTTAATTTGTATAGCGGTAAAAGAGAATCCCCTTTGGTGTAGTGCCCCCTGCCACCACTCTAGGAGACTTTTTGTTTACCAGGAGTATGGCAGAATAAACAGGGAATTCATGGCTCAGGGGCTTGTTTGATTTTATAAACTTTTTTTTTGTTTTTGTTTTCATTTCCTCTATAGACCAGGAATGAGTCGATTTCGAGAACAATGGCTGCATCATATCATTGACGCCAAATATTCTTTACTGAAGTCGATCACCACATTGTAACGCAGTTGCATCTGATTACTAAAGAATGTTTTAGGACTGTCTCCGCAATCGACTATATTAAAGATGCAGTACCGTAGATTGAACCACAGAATACGGATTGACTAATAAACTTGTGGTGTACAACCCAGCTGTGGTTTTTTGCCATTCATTCATTTTCCATTTTGCAACTTTTATCATATTAGCTGAGTGACAAGTAAGTTGTTTTCTATTTGGTTGTATAAAATGTTATTTATTTGGGGGGAGAGGGATGGGTGAAAGGAAGAAGGAGGGAGGGAGACAAACTTCTCCCACCTGCTAGTTGAATTTCCTGAAAGAGCCAGGGCTGGGCCATGCTGAAGCCAGTTGCCTAGGATTCAGTTTGGTTCTCTCATGCAGGTAGTAAGGATGCAAGGACTTTGGCCATCAGTTGCTGTCTCTCAGGGTGCCCACACTAGAAGGAAACTGGATCAGAAAAGGATTTGAACCTATGCACTCTGATATGGGATGCCAGCATTCTAAGCAGCATCTTTAACTGTCATACCAAATGCTCATCCCAGTTGTTTTCCATTTTCTGATATATTTTCCCCATTTCTATGCAGCACTTCAGATTCTTGCAGGTAGAGAGGCAAGTTTAGAGAGTTGCCAAAATTCATCTGTCAGACTAAGATAAAATTAATATTTAGCTGTTTATTCCCTTCATGAGAGCCTAAGTGTCTCCAACCCCATAAAGTGTCTCTTTATGGGCACAACTGGGGGAAGAACAAAATGACAACAGTTCTAACAGCTTTTAACTGGCATGAACACTTCCCATACTCATGGACTCCCTTCATTTCCTGTGAATCAGGCATTGCTGTCAAACAGCACATTTGATTTTCTGAAATTGCCATGCTGCCTTCACAACACATAATCATCTGGGTTTGGGTCTGTTGCCACCCTTCCTTATTTCTGGTCTTTTAATCCTTATACCAGGCCAGCCCTTGTTCCTACCTTTCCTGGGAGACTTCCCTTGCCTGGGTGCACAATTTTAAAACACCAAAGATAAAATTATATTATACTCTGGGTGACTGCCTAAAAGTATGTCAGACTATGCATCTACATGGACAAGCACCGGAAAGGAACATAATACTAAAGACGACTGAAGTGGTATACTGCAATTTTTCTTTCTTCATTCTTTTTTAAAAAAAATGTATCTATTTCTGCAACAAATAAGAGAGGAAGTCCTATCAGAGCAACAGGCAAGAAGTGAGAAGTAGGTAGGTCTCCTCAGAGAATACAAAATATATTTAAAATCTAGTAGTTCTATTACTTGACATGTGGGTAAAGTAACCAAACACAGTTTGAAGCACTAATCCTCATAAGCTGAAAAATAAAGCACTCTCAGTTCTTTTATTCTTACCTTGGTTTGCCCAAAAATATATGCTCATGAAGCTGTCTGGCACATTTTTTCCCAACAGACCTTTATGAAAGAAGTGGTAAGGTTCTGAAATAAACTAATATCTTTTGTTTCATTTACTCAATACCTACTATGGGGAGGAGAGAGAAATGAAACATTGTAATATTCACGTCACAAAATTACCATATTTAAACTACCTTCCCTACTGAAAAAATAAGAGAACATAACTCACCAGTCTCTTAGAACCGTAACAAAATGCTTAAGGAGAAAAAAAGTAAAATATTTATTTTTATCAGAAAGGAAGATTTAGAGAGGAGAAACAGAGAGAAAGATCTTCTACCTGTTGGTTCACGCCCCAAATGGCTGCAATGGCCAGAGTGAGCCGAATTAAAAAGCCAGGAATCGGGAGTTTCTTAAAGGCTTTCCACAGGGGTACAGGGGCCTAAGGACTTGGGCTGTCCTCCGCTGCTTTCCCAGGACATAAGCAGGGAGCTGGATGGGAAGTGGAGCATGTGGGACATGAACAGGTGTCTTTATGGGATCCTGGTGCTTGGAGGGGGAGGATTAGCCTGTTGAGTTACTGTTGCCAGCCCCAAGGGGGGTGGAATTTTAGATGAGGAAACTCAGGTTCTATTATACAGGGAAGTTGGCAGGGGGCGAGGTGGTAGTGCTGTCCTGGGGGAGAATTAGGCTGCTGCTTGTAACTGTTGTCAATTTGAGTGACGGCTGCTCCTCTTCCAAGCCAGCTAACATGCTTGGGAAAGCAGCAGCAGACCCATGTGTTTCAGATCCTGCCACCCATGTTGGAGGCCAGGATGAAATCCTTGGCTCCTGGCTTACGCCTGGCCCATTTCTAGTTTCGTGACCATTTGAGAAGTGAACCAGCAGATGGAAGATCTGTCTGTGATTCTTTCAAATATATAATTTAAAAATGATTTAGAAGCCTGGGAAATAGTTTCCTTCTCATTATTGGAGATTTATTAGGCTACACAAAAACTACGACTAGATTTAGAACTACGAGTAGGTATAGGAATCACTTCAAATTCAGGGGTCACAAATGTTGTTAGACATTGTTCAGTTCAGAAGTTGTAGGTTAAAAGCAGATGGGGGAAGTCAGCGTTGTGATGTAGTGGCCGACACATCCGCCTATACCACTTGCATCTTTGTATGGGTGCTGGTGTGTATTCCAGCTGTTCCACTTCCAATCCAGCTCCTTGCTATTGACCTGGGGAAAGCAGCAGAGGATGGTCCTACTGTTTGGGTCTGCACCTACAACCCCTAAGGGAGCCCTGGAAGAAACTCCCAGTTCTTGGATTTGGCTTGGCCCTGTACTGGCTGTTTTGGCCATTTGAAGGGTGAAGCAGCAGATGGAAGCTCTCTTTCTGTAAGTCAAAATAAATAAATGAAAATAATAAAAGGAAAAAAAAAGCAGATAAGGAAAGGGCCAGCACTGTGGCTCAACGTTAAGCTGCCACCTGTGACACCAGCACCCAACATGAATGCCAATTTTGAGTCTCAGCTTCTGATCCAGCTTCCTGCTAGTGTGCCTGGGAAGGCTACATAGTCCAAGTGCTTGGGCTCCTACCATTCACATGGAAAATATGGATGAAGTGCAGGATCCTGGCTTTGGCCTGGCCCCAGTCCAGGCTATCATGGGCCACTCAGGCAGTAAACCAGAGGAGGAAAGATCAAAATCTCTGACTCTTTATTTGTATTTTGAAAAAGCAGACTTATAGAGAGAAGGAGAGACAGAGAAAAAGATCTGTCCACTGTTTCACTTTTCAAGTGGTCACAATGGCTGGGGCTGAGCTGATCCGAAGTCAGGAAGCCACTTCCAGGTCTCCCATGCTGGTATAGGATCCCAAGGCTTTGGGCCATCCTCAATTGCTTTCCCAGACCACAAGCAGGGAGCTGGGTGGGAAGCAGAGCAGCTGTGACACAAACCAGCACTTGCAAGGTGAGGATTAAGCCAGTGAGCCGTAGTGCTAGGAACCCATAAATAAATCTTAAAAACAAACAAAAGCTACATAGGGGTATGGATTTGGTTTAGCAATTAAAATATTGGTTAAGATATCTGTACCCCAGATTAGAGTACCCAGTTCTGATTCCTGGTTCAAGTTTCCTGCCTATGTAGACCTTGGGAGGCAGCAGCTGATGGGTTCCTGTCACCCACGTGGGAGACCCAGATTGAGTTCCTGGTTTCTGGCTTTAACCATGCCTAAACTCGTGCTGTTGCTTGTATTTGAGGAGTGAACTAACATGTCGGAACTCTGTTTCTGTCTGCTTCTTTAACAACAATAAAAATTAGACATTTTCTTAGACCTTATGTTAAATAGTAAAACTTTTGCTCCGTACTTTGAAATATGTTGGACTTAAAGACTTTAAAAAAACACGTTTATTATAAGGAGAGGACATTTTATAACAGCATAGTCACATTTTCCTATTACTCAGGTAATTTATCTTAGGCATATAATAATAATGCAGATAAAATAACTTTAATAAAAACAGTCAAAATTTCCACTGTCCCCTCCCACTTTACTCTTCAAACTTAATAATAAAAACTGAACAAAATAAGGGAAGGACTGTGGTCTCACAATCCTACAATGTTCCATTTTTACCAAACTTAGAAATAAATAACAACATAAAAAATAATGAAGGCATTCTGTACAAGGTTAACATACTAAATGACAGTTTATAACTGAAAGTTTTAACAATGTTTAAAGTAAAATCTGTTCATTATATAATACAGACTTTATCCTATGAAACAACTAAAATACTGATTCATTATTTTTCCCTATCACAACTCTTGGCCATATTTGATTTCCATTCTTTTAGATGTTATCTTAGCATGAAAGTATAGCTTAGATTGAAAAACTAGCATGACCGTATGTCCTATTTTTGTATATTTGAATCATTTTAAAGTAACTTAGTACAATTTTTAAAGTAATTCGTTAAAAAATTTAAAAACCTATTGTCCACATTTCCAATTCAATAAGCCTGTGGGTTAGTTGTGTTTTTGCTTTGCTTTTGGCTTTGTGGTGGAGGTAGGGATTTAAACCAAAACACTTTATTTCCAGGGTGAATTATATCATATTACGTGAGTTCAAACTCTAGATTTGCTTTTATTCACCAATGCCTTCATCTTGTCTACACAAAAGTGTCCTCCGCTGTTTCTACCAACTATTTACAACACATTCAACACAGAGGAGTGATCATTTCTGGCAAGTTCAGATGGGGCGGGGAGGGCAGGCATCCCGTAGAGTTAGAGGTAACACCGTGCAATGGCATCACATACTTTCTCTCCATGCCACCTCTCCCAGTACGGCAGGATTTCATTCCTAATTTGGATTTTTAGACCAGAGAGAAATTATGGTCAATCCAAAAGTACTTGCTTAAGTTGTATCAATGAACGGCTTTTTATTGAAGGATTGAAAGAATTCAATAGAAGGCACAGTAGCACTGTAAAGCTTTTTCAGAGCATAAGTATCTTTGTGTGTGTATGGGTGATATCCAGATTTTCATTTTTGTTTCAGAAGTCTCCTGAATAATCAGAAAGCCTTTATTTATCATCCTTCCCTTTGGTCTTTCTATATACCATCTCTCGAAAACTGGCCAGAATTTTGTTCTCCCTCTTCCGTCTCTCTTCTTGGTTAAAGGAGGCAAGGGCTCTCTTCTCATCAGCACTATAGATCTGGTTCTCTTTCCGGAGTCGCACAGCCTCCATTCGGCGATGCCTGCAGAGAATTGTAGTTTTGGCTTAATTTCTCATAACATGTCCTCATTAATGTCAATACAGAATAAAAACTTTGTGAAATGGGTTAAAGTTTTTTTTTTTTAAAAAAAAAAACATCATTTTATCTTCCTGGCATGTCCTTTGATTCATCTCTAGTACTCATTTAAGGATTTCTGATGCTCTGTCAGCACACTGAGAATCATTAACTTCAAATACTAAGGGCTTACATTTATTCTAGTTGTTTTCAGTGAAACAACCAGAAAGGTGCAAATAATTAAATTTCTAGGTGATATATACATATATATTTATATTTACGCATATAAATATATATTTATATTTATCTTAGGGCAACTGATAGCAAGACAGATTTTAGTTGTCCTAAGGTGGAACTTTAATGCTGTAATTTGAAATACAACCAAAGGAACCAAGTAAAATCTGTAATTGAAGAGGAGTTCGATTTAATTTTGTTATACTCTAGCAATGGCCCAAAGAAAAGATAGGATTCAGTTTTAGAGCCCAATCAGCGAAGAACAGGGGCAGAGGCAGGGGGAAATTATGCCATCAGCTTTCAAAAGGTCCTTTTGTTCACAGGGAAAACTTCATGAAAACCTGCCTGCTCTATGATATGTATGTATCCGATCCTATACAATCAGTTTAAGAAGGTTGAGCTATCTAGAAAACTGGAGAAAAACTACATAAGGAGGAGAGCAGAGAATAATTTCAGGTTAGCGTGAAGCAGGGCACTAGCGAGAGGGGAGAATCAAGATAGTATAGGGTGGAAGTGCTCCGCAAATGATGCTTTATAAAACATCCCTGTACATGTTTCCCAGGACTTGGGAATCGTTTTCTCTCAGTCACCCAGGTATGAAGTTGCTGGCTTATAAAGTGTATGAAAGCTCAACTCTTCAAGATAATACCAAGCTGTTCTGCAAAATGTTTACACCCACTAGCAGTGTTTAGGGAATCCTGTAGATCCACATCCTATCAAGTGTATTGTCAGAACTTTGAACTTCTATTAAATAGGTGTAAGGTGACATTTTACTAAGTTCTTGATCATCATTTTCAATGACAATGAGCATCTTTTTGTGTATGTGTGGAGCACATGTATTTCTTCAGACAAGTAACTGTTGTCATTTTCCCATTGTGTTGTTTATACATATTCTTTAATATTATCAATATCAACTATATCAGTTGTATTATATATCAAGATTTTATCTCAGCTTGGAACTTGTCTTTTTTTTTTAACCTACTTTAAGGTGTCTTCTGAAGAGTAACATTTCTTATTTTTAACCTAGGAAAACTTACCAATATTTTATTTTATGATAGTACATTTTTTGTCTTCCTTAAAAACTGCTTCTCTACCCTGAAGTCTAAAAGATAACTGCTCTTAATGTCCTTTCTTTGGCTTCACTTGTTTTTATATATGGCGATATAGGGTTCTACTTTCAGGTTTTACCAAATGGATCTGTACGAGTTCCATTTACTGAATGGTTCCTTTTTCCCATCCTCATCTGAGAAGCCATCTCTTTCATAAGCAAACTTTCCATACCATGTATAGCTCTGTTCTTGGGACTCTGTATTTTACTTCATTGGATAATTTGGTTGCTGTTTAATGCTTCTAAAGTGCTGTAAGCTTCAAAATAAACCTTCATACTGACATTTCACATTCCTGAGTTTGCCTCTCATTCATCCACGTTAGAAAGTTAAGTTAAAGAATCTGACATTGGGCCCAGACCACCACTCTGGTGAGGCCCCCTTGGCTGCAGGCCATCCATTTTCCCTAAGGCTATAGGCAGAAGAGTGGCAGCAGGGACTGTTCTGGACCCTTGAAGTTGGGGAGAGGCCAGCCCAGAGACCACTAGGAAGTTCTGAACTTATAGGAGAGAGAGAGACCCAGAAGAGGCTCCTGGCTCTTGGCTTCAGATCAGCTCAGCTCCGGTTATTGTGGCTACTTGAGGAGTGAACCAATGGAAGGAAGATTTTTCTGTGTCTCCTTGTCTCTATAAATCTGCTTTTCCAAAAAAAAAAATCTTATAACAAGAATCCAAAATGCAATCTGATTTTTGTACAGTTAATCTCTCAACTCGCTCACCTGTTTATTCCTGCTATTTTGCTTTTTCTTCCCTATCTTTACATTCATTTCTCCATGCTGAACCTGATGTTTTTCATAAGCCTTCTCTGCTATTCATTCTCAGAAACCTGGGTGCACAGAGAACTGCAGGCCAACTTAAGACCCAGGAAACTACTGCCTTGGGAAAATACCTTCCTAATAATTATCAGAATGCCACATTCCTCATGTGGCTGTGATAAATAGTTGAATTTAAGTACGGCCTCTAGTAGATATCTGCAGTAAAATGTGAATTAGGAAAGAATATTGGAAAACCTGATTCTTTACTGTTGGAGAGATAGTTGAGTTGCACATATGTATCTGGAATTTTAGACAACCATGTTTAAAAAATAATAAAGCTAATATAACAATGTTTATATTTTACTTTATATCAGGAATAGTCACTTAATAAAAATCAATTACCAAAACTTGATCCTAGTAGTATGAAAAAAAAAAGATAATTGTGGAAATTTTAATGTCAACATACCTGCTACCACTCATTACATAACCTGAACATTCAAATGATGCGATTTCTTCACTTGTCAAGCCGATTTCCCCTCTTCGTGGAATACGTTTTCCAGCTTTTACATATTCAGCCATAGCTGCACCTTCACCAGGTAACAGAGCATGACCATAGCTAAAACAGAAAAGCTCCAGTAAATGATCTCAGTACAAAAACCTCATCTCTGAAGACAGCACAAAATTTGTTTCTCTTAGAAAACAGGGGGAATGGGAGCATTGAGCAAATAATACACTGGAAAGCTCAATGTGAATGACTTTAATCAACGAACATTGCACCATGTCCTATATAACTAACAGAAATGCAGATACATTGGAAATAAGCACTGCTCTGAGTTCCAGTTGTTCCACTCCCCATGTCCTTGTAGAATTTACTTGGTTACTGAGGCTCTAACTGCAGTACAAGGAAAATATCTAATACACAGTATAAAAGAAAGAAAATTCTGTGACAATGAAAGAGGATGGCTAGCCAATCTACTCGTGTAGGAGAAGTATTACGAATCAATATGTACTCCCACTTTCCAAAAAGAGCTTTCATGGATGGGAAGTGTATCAACACGGAGAAATTGGGGGTGGGTAGGGAAGAGGATATGGGGCAGGGAAAAGAAGAGAAGGCATACTGGGGGAAGAAAGAAGCTAAATGAAGACCAAAGTGAGAAAAAAAGGAGTAAGCTCAGAAAACTTTTAGTAGACCAGCTCAGTTGCTACCAGAGGGGATATAAATACAGAACTAACGGGAGATAAGCTTGGCAAGGTAGAGCCATGCTTTTTGGAAGTACTTAAATAATATAAACACACTGCTACTTACTTTAGGGGTTTATCATCTTGAGAAGCAAGTGTTTTTGGAGCCTCGGGGCCAATCAAATCCGACGGTTCTTCAGCCTCTGTATGAAAGGTATTCAAAACACAGGGACATTTTGACTAACTGATTGCTTTGATGTCTCCACTGTTTTGAGTTCTAGCCTATCACAACAACCTACTTGATCGATCCTTCCAGGGATTCTCCAGAAACTCTTCTTGGGACTCTTTAGAGCTTGAATCACTGGACTCCTCCTTTCTGTTCTTTTTAGATTTCTTTTTCTTATATTTCTTCCTGTAGGGATTATAATTTGATACATATTCACTTAACAGTCCCATGTTAAAGGGCATCTTAATTTTTCAAGGCAACAAAAGACTGATTAAAATTATTTGAATTCTTGGCCGAGGAAGCTTGCTAGAGAAGAATTTTAGTTAAAAGATTTGTACCTTTTAAAGTCATTTTTCATTATAAGAGATCCCCAGAGACGGGTGTTTCACCTACTAGTTAATATGCTGGTTAAAATGTCAGTATCCCTGTTTCACATTGGCATGCTCTAGGCTTCCATTTGGTCCAACCACAGCTGATGTGGGCATTTAGGGATTAAACCAATGGATGGGAACCCAAATTTTCAAATTAATAAATAAAAGTGACTAAAAAGAATGAGAGTGAAACATGATGACTCAATTGGCTAATCCTCCCCTTGCAAGCACTGGGATCCCATATGGGCACCCGTTTGTGTCCTGACTGCTCTACTCCCCATCCAGCTCCCTGTCTGTGGCCTAGGAAAGCAGTACAGGACAGCCCAAAGCCTCGGGACTCTGCACAAATGTGGGAGGCCCATAAGAAGCTCATGGCTCCTGATCAGTTTTGCTCCAGCCATTGTGGCCATTTGGGGAGTGAACTAGTTAACAGAGGATCTTTCTCTTTTCCCTCCTTCTCTCTGTAAATCTGCCTTTCCAATAAATTAAGTAAATCTTTAAAAAAAAAAAAAACACAAACAACTAATAGGAGAGGTAGGGAGAATCCCAGTGCCTAAAAAACTGTGTCACATAATGCAATGTAATAAAAACAAACAAACAAAAAACAACTAACAGGCCCGGCGCGCTGGCCTAGCAGCTAAAGTCCTCGCCTTGAAAGCGCCAGGATCCCATATGAGTGATGATTCTAATCCTGGCAGCTCCACTTCCCATCCAGCTCCCTGTTTGTGGCCTGGGAAAGCAGTGGAGGACAGCCCAACGCCTTGGGACCCTGCACCCACGTGGGAGACCTGGAGGAAGTTCCTGGTTCTTGGCTTCAGATCAGCGCAGCACCGGCCATTACGCTCACTTGGGGAGTGAACCATTGGACGGAAGATCTTCCTCTCTGTCTCTCCTCCTCCTCTCTGTATATCTGACTTTATAATAAAAATAAAAATAAATCTTTAAAAAAAAAACCTAATAAACAGTTTTCATACTGTAGGAAGACAACAGAAATAACAGCCTAAAATAACTTGTCAGTTTGAGCTTTAATAAAGTTTCTATGTCTTTAGATTTATGATGGCATAAAAATATCTGAACTATTTTGAAAAACACATGTATTAGTTAAGTACTATTTTTGAAAATAAAATCTTAATTTTTTAATTTGAAAGTTAGATTTACAGAGACAAGCAGGCCAGGACAAGATGTTCCATCTGCTGATTCACTCCCCAAGTGGCTGCAACGGCCATGAGCTGATCTGAAGCCAGGAGCCAGGAGCTTCCAGGTCTCCCACACAGGTACAGGGTCCCAAGGCTTTGGGCCATCCTCTGCTACTTTCCTCGGTCACAACTAGGTCACAAGCAGGAAGCTGGAGGGGCAGTGGAGCAGCCAGGATATGAACTGGAGCCCAAATGAGATTCTGGCACATACAAGGCAAGGATTTTAGCTCCTAGGCTACTGTACCAGACCCAGATCTTAAATTTGCTGGTTTATTCTCTAAATAACCACAATGGCTGGAGCTGAGCTGATGCAAATCCAGGAGCCAAAAACTTCCTCTGGGTCTTCCACATGGGCACTGGGGCCCAAGGATTTGGGCCATCCTCTGTTGCTTTCCCACACAATAATCAGCAAGCTGGACTGTAAATGGAACAGCCAGGTCTTGAACTGTTACCATATGGGATGTTGGTGCCAAAGGTGGATACTTAGTTTACTACAGCACAGCACTGGCCCCCTTTAAGAACCATTTTAAAAGTTTCCTTTACCAAGTCACCAAGGTTTAACCTTGTAGCTAAGGGCCCAGTGCAATGATTCAGTGACTAAATCCTCTGCGTTGTAGGCATTGGAATCCCATATGGACCCTGGTTCATGTCCCGGATGCTCTGCTTCCCATCCAGCTCCCTGCTTGTGGCCTGGGAAACCAGTTGAGGACAGCCCAAACCCCTGGAACCCTGTGCCCATGTGGGACACACACAAAAAGCTCCTGGCTCCTGATCGGCTCAACTCTGGCCATTATGGCCATTTGGGGAGTGAACCAGCGGATGGAAGATCTTTCTCTCTGTCTCTCTTTCTCTCTATAAACTTAATAAAAAATAAATATATTTTTCGTAAAAATGTGGCTAAAAAGGTAGGTCCAGGTAAAACTGCAATAGTTACTGGTACTGGCCTAGCTTGGTGTCACCTGAAATTTCCTTTGGGATCTGAAATTTAGATCCTACCAGTGGATATAGTTGTAGAATCTGAACATATATTAAACAAATGGTGATAGAATTTCTAGTTTTACCATGTTCATCCTTGCTTATGTCATCTTCTTGGTAAAACATAAAGTAACCACTATATTTGAAGTTGCTGTCTGCCCCCTCCTCACCTCACTTATTATCCTTTATTTTACATTACTTTTCCATACCTCTTCTAAATAAACTGAAGAACTAAATAAATAACATGAAACTATATACACTGTTTGTCTCCCCTTAGCTTCCAATACCGCAAGCGCAGGAACTTTTGTCTTTGTTCCATTTTATATCTCAGCACTTTCAATGGTGCTTGAAACAATAAGCATTTAAATAAAAGAACAAAAAAATCCCTGGCTGGTGGGAAAATGGGGATCATTATACTATTTTTTGTAATTTTATATACATTGGGACTTTCCATAATAAAAATTAAAGAAAAAAAACTGACGATCTGTGTTTCTTCTTCTTTTCTTTTTTCTTGTTTTTCTTTGCTTTCCTTTTTGTATCTTCATCTGCAAAGTCAAACATATTATAATTATAAAAAAGTCTCTCCAAAACCCTAATGTTTGAGTAAACATTCTATTGCTGACTTACTTGTTGTTACAGAGAAATTAATTCATTCCAATATTTATTGCTACCTGTCAAGAACCAGACTAGGCACTGAGGACATAAAACGTTTAACATCACACTAGATATTACATAATACTGGGTATTAGTAATTTATTCAATGAGGTAACACCACTGGTGGTAAATAGAAAAATGGTTTATAGATGCAAACTGAAATATTCAGGGTGGAAGTATGATGAGGCTTGTAATTGACTATATTAGCAAAAAAATCTGTGCTTGAATCAAAAGTATGTTAAAACACATATTACTATCAGATCTCGGTGATAAATACATGGCTTTAACCATGACACTAATTATATCACTCCCTTTGCTTTTGTTAGTATTTAAAGATTTTCATGACAAAAAGGGGGAAAATTATGTTCTTGAGGGGGGAGAAAGAATGCTTTCTAGGAGTTAAGTCTACCAGAGGAGACAGTGCAGTGATGACAACCAGGACGGTAGGGAAGCAGGGGCTGCACAAAAACAGACTCAGGGAGGGAGAGATTGAATAATGCTTGACCAGGAAAAGGTGAATCTTAAGCTATTTATTTTTAAAAAAATCAGTTTATTGCAAAAGCAATGCATGTCCAATGTTACAGTGACCAAACCGAGCTGGGTGGAAGGAGATTAACATTACAGGTACAGGGACTCTCTGTACCACGTAACAGGGCGCAGAGAAACAGCACAGAATATCCAGGAGGTACACAGCAGTTTTTAGTCTACAGAGGAAGGTGTAAGGGAGTGGCAGGGTATACTGTCATTAGAGGGTCTGAACCTTAACATGGAGCCTATTGAGAGTCACTGAAAAGATTTTGAGCAGGGGACTGACAATGCAAAGTAGTAGGCATTTGGCACAGCAATTAAAATGCTGTTTGGGATGACTGCATCCCCTACTGGTGTGCCCGGTTCCAGTCCTGGCTCCTCTGTTTGATTCAACTTCCTGAAAATGCACATCCTGGGAGGCAGCAGATGATGGCTCAAGTATCTGGAACTCTGCCATGCACAGGAGAGCCAGACTGAGTTCTGGGCTCCTGGCTTCAACCTGGCCCAGCCCTCTTCGTTGTGGGCAATTTAGGAGTAAACCAGCTGATGGGACATCTTTCTCTGTATGTTTCACTCTATTCCTCTCTGCCTTCCAAAAAATAAGATTATAAAAACTATGCAAAACTTCAAAAAAAATGTCAGATCCTTTTTTAGCAGTGGGGAAGAAAAGAGACAACGGTGCTCAGGAAACCTAGGTGGTATCACAGGAAGGGGAGACGTTATTTATCGTGTCACACTCAGAGCAGGGACAGCTTCCACTTGATCATCAGCCAGGAAAAGGTGGCTTCCTGTGATGCACCCCAAAGGGAGTGCCTTGCACTATTCAGCAGCCAGTGCGAAGGCTGCTTTATTTTAAAAAATATAGTGTGCTTTATTTTTAAAAAAATGCCAGAAGATTTTTATTGGAAAGACAGAGTTACAAAGAGGGAGAAATGGAGAGAGGACGTTCTTCTATCTGCTGGTTCATTCTCTAAGTGGCCATAATGCCAGAGCTAGGCTTGTGTATTTGAGCCAGGCTGAAGCTAGAGGCCAGGGGCTTCATCCTGCAGGAGTCCAGGCACTTGGGCCGTTCTTTGGTGCTTTTCCCAGATTGTTTGCAGGGTGATGGAGCAGAAGTCAGAGAGCTGGGACATGAATCAGTGCCCATATGGTTGCCACATCACAACACTAATCCCTTTACGGCACAGTCAAAACACTGTCCAGAGGTATTTAGTATGTATGAAAATTCATCATATAAAAGAGCCCTCCCACTGAGCAGATATAGCCTTCAGAAGCAGCCTTCTCTGGCTTTCTTTGGTGCCATATGTGTTGTATACAGCCCAGTCTCCTGATTTGGTCTGTGCCAACATGCCTTATACAAGTATGCACAACCAATCTGGAGACAGTTTGCTTGGGTCTGAATCCCAAACTGTCTGACTTTGGATATGATACTTTTTAAAAAAGATTTATTTTTATTTTGTATTGGAAAGGCAGACTTGCAAAGAGAAGGAGACAGAGGAAAAGATCTTCCATTTGCTGGTTCACACCCTAACGGGCCTCAATGGCTGGAGCTGGACCAATCCAAAGCCAGGAGCTTCTTCTGGAACTCCCATGCAGGTGCAGGGTCTCAAGGCCTTGGGCCATCCTCTGCTGCTTTCCCAGGCCACAAGTAAGCAGCTGGATGGGAAGTGGAGCAGTCAGGACACAAACTGGCATCCATATAGGATCCCAGTGTATGCAAGGCTACTGCGTAGGTCCCTGAGTATGATATTTGTAACCTGCCCTGTGCCTGCATTTCTTAACTTATAAAATGTAATTTAAAGTAGTTGTGTAGACTACATAGCAATACTGAATATGAAACACTCCGCACACTACACAGAGCTAGCAAACATTCAGGCTTTTTAGAAACGCCTTTACAGTAAGTTCTAAGAATTCGCAGTGGTTTTGCAGCAAGCCTCCCTTACCACTGGAGTCTGTTTCCGAGTCGGAGTCGCTGTCACTATCTTCAGAATACTTCTTGTGTTTTCTTTTAGAGGATTTTTTCTTTCTCCTTTTCTTGGACCTTTCTTTTGAATGATTAGATTTCTTCTTCTTTTTCTTTTCATCTATAAAATAGGAGCAAAACACCTCATTTCTCAAAAAAAAAAAAAAAGTATTTCTGAATATCAAATTGATTGTATTCAAAAAATACTGATAGCAAACAAAGACTGGGCAATTTAATAAAAACAAAATTGAGCGTTCAACTATTTATAAGCCTAGTTTTTTCTAACTTTTCAAGAAAGCTTTGCATCTGAAAAATACCTTCTGAAGAAGAAGCTGATGTGGTACTTTTCTTTGGCTCTTCGTCTTCTACTGGTGTATGTTCATCAGAGCTAAATTTCAAGAAAATGGTTACAAGAATCAGAAAAGTGAAAAAAAAAAAAAAAGAATCAGAAGGTGATGACATACAGACCAAGGAGCAAAAAATATAATTTAAATTTTCAGTATCAACATATAGTCTAAAAACCATTTAAAGAAAGCCCTGGATGAATGCTGTAAGAGTGTAATTCACTCTACTTAGGTAATAATAAAGTAACTTACATTCACATCGTTTTTGAGAATATATAAAATACTACTCAAACAAAGCAGCAAGGACTCATATTTTCCATAGGATGAAAGAAGAGAAATCGGAGCTATAAAGAAAAATATGACATTGGAGATAAGAAGGCTACACAATTTTATTGTATGTGGAAGATACATAGGAGCAGCTGCTGTTCCATCTCCCTACAGCAAAAAGAATGCAACAAGTGCTAATCTCAAGAGATTTTCTTTTGTTGCAGAGAATTTTCGAAAGTATTGCTAAGCACTTCAGGAAAGGAGTTCCCCCATCCTACTTCCCCAAAGATAACACTGGAAACAATTTAGGCAGTGATTTATGCATAGCCCAGAAAATAATTTTTAGTGTTCTTTTCAACTCCAATTCTACCAGTTTGAGTTCATGAAGCATTTCCAAATCTACGTATAAGAAAAAATTTCAGATAATAATCTTCTATTATGCTCTCACAAATCACAGGTTAACCAGTCAAGCACAGGGTCTTAACTCACCTTAAAGCAGACAGGTGGAGAAAAAAATTTATGAATAACATCAAGGAGAAAAAAGAAAACGCAGCTTTCAGATAACTATATATAGAAAAAGTAAGCAAAGTGATACGAGTATCATTAAAAAAATGTTTGTAATGCTAATAAATGGCATCTAATGTGCTACTGGGTTGAGAAAACAATTCAAAACCATTTAAGTGTATTATTTGTTTTTTTCAAATATTTATATTTACTTGAGAGGGAGGGAGGGAGAGAGGCGAGGATTCTCCCTTGACAACACTGGGGTTGGGCAAAGTTGCAGTCAAAGGCTCAGCCCATCACCTGGGTTTCCCATCTGGGTAGCAGGAACTCAGACACTTGATTTAGCACCTGCTGCCTACAGGGTGTGCATTAGAAGGAGGCTGCAATTGGAAGTAGAACTGGAATTCCAAGGCAGGCACTCTGCAATGCCTGTCACTATTATTTAATAGTGAACCTTTCCGTGAATAGGAAGTGATGACTTAGAACAGAAAGTGAACAATTGATGCCATGGCTCAATCAGCTAAATCCTCCCCTTGCAACCACCGGGATCCCATATGGGTGCCAGTTCATGTCCCAGCTGCTCCACTTCCCATCCAGCTCCCTGCCTGTGGCCTGGGAAAGCAGTAGAGGATGGCCCAAAGCCTTGGGACCCTGCACCTGAGTGGAAAAGACTTGGAAGAAGCTCCCGGCTCCTAGGTTTGGATCAATTCATCTCCGGACACTGTGGCCACATGGGGAGTGAACCAGCAAATACGAGATCTTTCTCTTTCTCCTCCTCTCTGTAAATCTACCTTTCCCATAAAAATAAAACTTTAAAAGGGAACAACTGGTGTGCTAAGATCTACCAGCAATAGGTCATAATCCTTAGATGATTTCCAGGTTTTTAAAACTTAAAAAGGGGCCTGGGGGTGATAGCCTAGTGGCTAAATCGCTTTGCATCTGCCAGGATCCCACATGGGTGCCGGCCTGGGAAGGCAGTGGATAATGGCCCAAAGCCTTGGGACCCTGCTCCCACATGGGAGACGTGGAGCAAGTTCCTGGCTCGTGGCTTTAAATCGGCTCAGCTTCAGTTGTTGTGGCCACATGGGGGTGGAAGAGCAGAGAATCTTTGTCTCTCCTCCTCTCTGTAGACCTGACTTTCCAGTAAAATAAATTAAAAAATTGAAAAATTAAAAAAAAAAAACTTAAAAAGGTATGAATAGCAGGGTTAGTTGGGCTGAGGTAGGTTCCAAAACACATTGATGTGTATGAGAGCCAGATAGGATGCAGGACGGACTGGACCAGTCAGCTGCACATACCAGCATGCACAGGAACCAGGGCTGGTGGCGGGCGTGGTGGAGGTTATTGGAGGTCCCTCCAAATAGGCTGCAGTTCCCGCTGGTGCGCATGAGGGCAGAGTATGTGATGGCGAGGGTTGGACTGTGCCACAGCATCTCATCCATTGGTTTGTGTATGAGATGGGGCTGGGGATAGAACAGACCCAACAACTGCAACCAGCAGTGTATGCAGGCTATTGTGGGTTATGGACAGAGCCAGACCCCACACTGGCTGGAACACACAGGAGTCAGGTCTGGGGTAACCTCTGGCGAGGTTTCTTTGGGACATCCCAGCAACCAGTCCACCGGACTCAACTCCAAACATGAGGAAAATCACAGGATCTGAAGTGTGACTATGAAGTGTGTGTGTCTGAACTGGGCCTCTGTGGTTGCTGCAGTCTGTGCAGTCGATGGCACACACAGAAGCACATGGGAAGACGTGAGCACAAGTTCACTGAGGCCTGGGCCCGGAGCCATGGCCTAGTGGCTAAAGTCCTCGCCTTGAACACGCCAGGATCCCATAAGGGCACCTGTTCTAATCCCGGCAGCCCTGCTTCCCATCCAGCTCCCTATTTGTGTCCTGGGAAAGCAGTCAAGGTCGGCCCAAAGCCTTGGGACCCTGCACCTGTGTGGGAGACCCAGAAGAGCTCCTGGCTTCAGATTGGCGCAGCATTGGCCGTTGAGGTCACTTGGGGAGTGAGTCATCAGATGGAAGATCTTCTCTGTCTTTCCTCCTCTCTGTATATCTGACTTTGTAATAAAAATAAATAAATCTTCATTGAGGCCTGCAGAGGATGTCTAGTACCATGGAGGGCAGAACAAATTGGACAGCTCTCCCGGCCAAGCTTTGAACAGCTAGTATCTAGGTCAGTGTAGACTCTAAGGAGGACCGTGTCAGCCAATGGACCTTGGAAGGATTTCCTCAACCTTGGATCAGCGAGACTGACAGCATGTCAAAATTACTGAAACTACTTAAACAGAACCCTCAGAACATACTCCACATCAGGGACCCTGGGATGACATCAGTGACTGTCTCCCATTCCTGGGTGCTGAAGTATCTGGGTTGCTGGGAGCAGCCCTCTCCCCTTTTCTCCCTACTTCTTCCAGACACAGGAACAAAAAGGGAGATTGGAAACAGTTGTCTCATCCATATTCCCCTGTTCCTCTACTCTCCCCACCCTAATCAGTGGTTCACATGGGTATACATCCTTCTCAACCAAGTAAACATCATCAAAAAAAAGTCATCATTATTAAAAAAAAAAAGGTATGAGGCCAATGTTGTGCTGCAATAGGTTCATCTGCAGTTTACGACACCAGGATGACCATATCAAGAGTGCTAGTTGGAGTCCTGGCTGTTCCACTTCTAATCTGGCTTTCTATCAATGTGCCTGGGAAGGCAGTGGAAGATTACCCAAATATTTCGGCCCCTGCTACCCATGTGGGAGACCAGAATGGGGTTCCTGACTCCTGATCTTGGGTTGGCCCACCCTTGCCTGTTAACATTCACTTGCGGAGTGAACTACTAGATGAAAGATCTGCTTTTCTTTTTTCCTTCTTTGCTACTCAGCCTTTCAAATAAATAAACAAATGCATTTTTAAAAGGAAAATTCAAAGGGTATGACAGTATAAATGGCAAGAAAGCAGAAAAATGTGAAATGCACTTAAAGTTCTTCACTTAAACATTTTGGTAGAATTAATACTTAAATAAATAAAACATTTTTATAAAATATTTTGAAACCACTTACTCTGGTTCAGGATTCTTTGGAGAAAGTCCCCACACTTCCGGAGCTCCTAATTCTCCAATTCTTTCTCTCTCACTTAATCTCCTAGAACAAAGAGGTATATTAATTATAACTCAATGGGGCCCAGCCTGGTGGTAGCTTAGAGGCTAAAGTTCTAGCCTTGCATGCACTAGGATCCCATATGGTTGCCAATTCTAATCCTGGCAGGTCTGCTTCCCATCTAGCTCCCTGCTTGTGGCCTGGGAAAGCAGTGAAGGACGGCCCAAAGCCTTGGGACCCTGCACCCATGTGGGAGACCCAGAAGAAGCTCCAGTTTTCTGGCTTTGGATTGGCTCAGCTGTTGCAGCCACCTGGGGAGTGAACCAGCAGACAGAAGCTTTTCCTCTGTCTCTCCTCTCTGTATATCTGACTTTACAATAAAAATTTAAAAAAATATATATATTTTTTAAAGATTTATTTTTATTATTTTTTATTGGAAAGGCGGATATACAGAGAGGAGAGACAGAGAGGAAGATCTTCCGTCCGATGATTCACTCCCCAAGTGAGCACAACGGCCCATGCTATGCCGGTCCGAAGCCAGGAGCCTCTTCCGGGTCTCCCACGCGGGTGCAGGGTCCCAAAGCTTTGGGCCGTCCTCGACTGCTTTCCCGGGCCACAGGCAGGGAGCTGGAAGGGAAGCGGGGCTGCCGGGATAGAACCGGCGCCCATATTTTTTTTTTTTTAAAAATGCCAGGATGTTCCTTCCATATACAGACACACCACTGGTGGCCACCTGGAGTGACTCTTAAAAGAAAAAATTATAACTCAATGGCTGAATCCATCCCCTAAATATATAATCAAATCCAACAGGAACCTAGTTAAGTCTAATTCCCTTTTACATTTTAATTGTTAATAGTAACTTGGTTTGAAGTCATCAATTTCAATTTAGTGTTCTGATAGCAATATCAAATGGTACCAACTGCAAAACCCTTGGTGGTTGGGTCAGAAATGGCAGCCTGGGAGACTGGAAGGTAGTTCCCTTCTAATTCATGATGATATAGTCACTTATTGTTCACTTTACTGTTGCAGGATGTGACAGAAAAGATTTCTGCATTTGGACATACTTCATTTGTTTTATGTTTATGAAAGTAAAGAGACATCTCTTGGGCCTGGTGCGATGGCTCAGTAGCTTGCCTTGCATTCCCCAGGATTCCATATAGGCACCAGTTAGTGTCCAGGCTGCTCCACTTCCTGTTCAGCTCCCTGCTTTTGTCCTGGGAAAGCAGTAGAGGACAGCTCAAAGCCTTAGACCTTTACCCATGTGGGAAACTGGGAATAAGTTGCTGGCTCCAGATCAGCTCAGCCCTGGCCAGTGTGGCCACTTGGGCAATGAATCAGTGGACATAAGATCTCTGTTTCTCCATTTCTCTGTAACTCTGCCTTTCCAATAAAAATAATAAAAGATGGGCCCGGTGGCGTGGCTTCGTGGCAAGTCCTCACCTTGAACGCACCAGGATCCCATATGGGCGCCAGTTCTAATCCCGGCAGCCCCACTTCCCATCCAGCTCCCTATTTGTGTCCTGGGAAGCAGTCAAGGATGGCCCAAAGCCTTGGGACCCTGCACCCGTGTGGGAGACCTGGAGGAAGTTTCTGGCTCCTGGCTCCGGATCAGCACAGCACCGGCCGTTGCACTCACTTGGGGTGTGAATCATCGGACAGAAGATCTTCCTCTCTGTCTCTCCTCCTCTCTGTATATCTGACTTTGCAATATAAATAAATAAATCTTGTAATAAATAAATCTTTGTAATATAAATAAATCTTAAAAAAATGAGACATCTCTTGATTTATTCAAATATTCAGCTTTCAGAAACCCATAAATAAAGAAAAATAAAAATGAAGCATTAGAAGTAGAAAATTAGGGCCCAGTAGCTAAACTCCTCGCCTTGCACGCACCTGGGATCCCATATGGGCGCTAGTTTGTATCCCGGCTGCTCCACTTCCCATCTAGCTTCCTGCTTGTGGCCTCTGTTTCATAACGCTGTTTAATTTTTGCTACAGCTTTTAAAGCAAAAAGGCACACTTAAAGTTTATATGCTTGTGAGTCTATTTGTTTTTAAAGATCCTTACTAAACAAATATAGTGGGTTTATTTGAACAAATCATATTCTTTCATCAGTATAATGATATCATCATATGCAGAATCAGACTCAGAGGATTTTGCACTTTGACACAGACTTCTTTAAAGGGACATAGTTGGGACGTATGCAATCTAGGCAAATTAACCGGCAAACTCTAAAGAGCAGGCACTCCTCTTTCCATATGGCTGCCACCTGGATTCACCTGTAGTGTTAGGATCAATTATTTCATCTTTTGAAATGTACAAATGCAAATTTCATCCAAGCATTTCTGACATCTTTTGGTGGGAATTCTCCACCAAGAAACCATCTGCTTTTTCACTGACAAAGCTTCTGGGATTTTTCTGAAAAATTAAGAATGAAGTAACTCAGGAGTCGTCACTGTTTTTGCTCCCATGTATGCTGAACTAACAGGTAACACTTGGGGAATGTTTATTATGTCCCAAGCACTACATTATTACAACTCTAAAAGCCTTGGTATTAATTTTATCATTTAATAGTGAAGAAATAAAGTTCAGAGATGTTAAGCAACTTGCCCAAGGTCACACTGGTGGCTAACTACCAAATAAGAGCTTTCATTTCCACGTGATTCCATAGAATCACTACAATTCACTGTCCTCATTACAGGAAGCAAAAGAACATAAAGGTATCTCTCAACTACTGGAACTTTAATTTGCCACTCAAAGCCTGACATATCTTTCATTTTTGGATACATTCAGCACACACCATTTAAGGCTTAGTAAACAGTAGGTACAAAAGGCGTCCACAGCAATGATGCTCAGCCGTTTCCTTTCTCCTTGCACTACGCATTTTCCACTCTCTATTTACTCTCATTAAAGATCGGATCTCACACTCATGTCATTTTTCATGTCCAACTATGATTGAGACCACTCAGCAAACCCTTTCTTAAAGCAGCCCTACCCACAGTTTAAGCAGATCGCTTTTCCTGCATTCATCTACCTAATCGCCTTCTTTAAAGGGAAGTCTTCTTTCTCTCCAATTTCAATCCGTCTTAACTCCCTCCAAAACATGACCTGTTCTTCCATAAGTAATGGTTGTACACACACCTGCGAAGTGCGAGGCACTGAGGATTCTGGAAGCAATAAAACGGGGCTCCTCTTTTTCTACATGCTCACGAAAGATAACAGCACAACTAAGCGAATGCTAGAATTCTAGCAGATTTGCCGCTCTTTTGACCATGTCTGCTAACAACCCCGGAGCGGGAGGAGAGTAGCAGGCAGCCCCAGCACGGTATGACGAGGGCCAATGTTAAGGGAATAAAAGCACGAATAAAGGGTTGCCATCGGTGGACTGAATAAAGAGGGCGGAAATGGTGTATAAAGCAGGTGAGTTCGTACAAGGAAGTGTGTTTGTGTACGTGTATGGGGTGAGGGTGGGGGGTCTCACTCACTTCTGTCGCAGGCTTTCCTCTCTCTCCTTGTCCAGGAGGCTGGGCCACGGCTTGTCGCTCCCATAGGGGCGCGAGTAGCCGCCATAATAGGCGGACGAGGAGGCAGAAGAGAAGGCATTGCTCCGCGGCGCAGAGGGCCGCTCTCGAGAACGTGAGCGCGAGCGGGAGCGGTAGGACTGGTTTCTTGAGCTGTGACTGAGGCCACTGAGATGGTGACTGAGGCCATTCCGGTCCCCGGATCGAGAGCAGGAGCGCGAGCGAGAGCGGCGGCCGCGCGGAGAACGCGCAGATTTGCTGGACTTGGGGCTCCTAGATGAACTGCGACGTTTTCCCCCGGAGCCCGATGTTTCCGGGCTGCGCGAGCCGGAAATCCGAGCCATGCTGCTACGGGACCCCAGAGGTCGCTGGAGAAGGGGGGCGCTCTCAGGAGTCCAGGAATATCTCGCGTGCCCTGGATCCCAGGTCCCGCCACTGTCCTACCGCGTAAACCTGATGGGATCCTTGGGAATGGTTTCTGGTACGGCGGCAAAGCCCTTCCCCGGACGTAGGCGGTTCTCCAGCACTCGAGCAGGGCCGTGTGTTTCAGTAAAAATAAGCCGGTAGGGGAACTGGTTCGGCGCACTCCTTTAGTTCCTAGTGCCTAATCGAGTCTAAAATCTGGGGCGAGGCGTGAATGAAGTCCTTTCTCAGCTTCAAACTTTGTGATACTTGAAGAGGAGGACGGCAGAGCAGGCGAAACGTTTGGGAGTGGTCCTAGCAACATGGCTAATTATGTATGCTTTTTGTGTGCTCTCTGTGTAATTATATTTATGCGTGTGTATTTATGTATGGATTAAAATATATATATATATATATATTACGGGCCTGGTGGCGTGGCCTAGTGGCTAAAGTCCTCGCGGCTAAAGTCCTCGCCTTACACGCCCGGGATCCCATATAGGTGCCTGTTCTAATCCCGGCAGCTCCACTTCCCATCCAGCTCCCTGCTTGTGGCCTGGGAAAGCAGTCGAGGACGGTCCAAAGCTTTGGGACCCTGCACCCATGTGGGAGACCCAGAAGAGGTTCCTGGTTCCCTGCTTTGGATGGGCGAAGTACTGGCCGTTGCGGTCATTTGGGGAGTGATTTATTTGTTTTTTTCTTCCTAAAAAGCAAAACCACAGGAGTTTATCACAATCGGGGTGATCTATGCTATCAAACCAGTTTACCTAGAAGGAACAAATTCTATGTTAATGACTTGCACCTGATACACTCCAATTATGTTAACAGCCAGAGAAAAAATGCATACTTTTCTTACAGTGGCCTAGCTCCCTTCACCAATGTGCTCCAGTTTAAGTAGTTTGCACATCTCTCTTTATCCAACGCCTTAAACTGGGCCCATCATAGCCTGACCGAGCAATATGTGGTTATGATCAGTATTTCTATTCATTTTCTACTGTTTTTAAATTTGGAAGATAGAGACAAAATTCCACTGAGTTACTCTTGAAATGACTGCAAGCGGGAAGAATGGGCCAAGCTGAACTCCGGAAACCAGGACAAGCTTCACACGTGGGTGACAGGGACCCAATAGCCAGAGCCATCACTTGTTGCCTCCCAGGGTCTATATTGGTAGGGAAGCTGGATTTGGAAACTGAAGCCAGGAATTGAACCCAGACAATCTGATATGGGGTACTTGCTGGCTCTTTCTTCTTTTAAAAGATGTGTTTATTTGAAAGACAGAAGCTATAGAGAGAAGGATAGATGGATAGAGGGAGAGAGGGAGAGAAAGACTCTTCCATCCACTGGTTCACTCCACAAATGGCTGCAAAAGCTTCTCCAGCCTCATTAACAGTGAGCTGCATTGGAACGGGCACACAATTATGGAATTCTGGCATTGCAAGTGTCAGTCTCACCTGCTGTATCACCATACCAGACCAGTTGTGGACTTCTTTTTTGTGAAAGATTTATTTTATTTGATTGAAAAGGGAAAGAGAGAGGGAGAGAGAGAATGAATGAATGAAAATATTTAATATTGCTGGTTCATTACCCAAATGACTGGAATTTGGTTCAACTAGTTGAGTCTCTGTCATCCACTTGTGCTTTTTTGAAGATTTATTTATTTCTGTTGGAAAGTCAGATATACAGAAAGGAGGAGACACAGAGAGGAAGATCTTGTTTGCTACAAGTGGCTGCAACGGCCAGAGCTGAGCCAATCCAAAGCAAGGAGTCAGGAGCCTCTTCTGGGTCTCTCATGTGGGTGCAGGGTCCCAAGGTTTTGGGCCGTCCTCAACTGCTTTCCCAGGCCACAAGCAGGGAGCTGGATGGGCAGTGGAGCAGTTGTGGACATGAACCAGCACCTATATGGAATCCCAGGCAAAAGGAGGTGGAGGATTAACTAATTGAGACAATGGGATGGCCCCCAATTGGTCTTTTAATCTCATTTCCCCTCTCCCCATAAATTCCTGAATTACCATCATAGTTAAAGATGCATAACTGATGTCTGAGTTGAATTGAATTTTTAGGGTGGTTCTTTTTTTTTTAATCATTTCTTTTTGTATTGGAAAGTCATAAGGAGAGAAAGACCTTCTTACAGCTGGTTCAATACCCAAATGGCCAAAATGGTCAGGAGCTGAGCTGAACCAAACCTAGGAGCCCGAATCTTCTTCTGGGCCTCCCACACTGGTACAGGAACCCAAGGCTTTGGGTCATCCTCTACTGATTTCCCAGGCCACAAGCAGGGAGCTGGATGGGAAGTGGAGCAGCTTGGACACGAGCCGGCACCCATATGGGATCCCGCAGCAAACAAGGTTAGGACTTTAGCCACTTTGTTACCACACCGAGCTCTAGGGCAGTTCCTGTTTCATCATTTTATTTATTTAACTTCTTTTTTTATTGTTATCATTTTATGATACATTTCCACAGGACCTGGGATTTCCCTTATCCCCTCCCCAATTCCCTCCCCCCAACCTAGTTCCTCTATATCATTACGAACATATAGTTCTTCTTACACAGTCATATGTCCATCATTGTGGGCATGGACAATGGCAGAGAGTCCAGCATCCTATTGTCAAGATGTAGTAAACAGTTTCATTCTAAGTTCATCTTTGTCTGGAAGTAGAGATGCATACTACGTTGTATCCTCACATCTGGATATGATAGTCTCCATTACAGTTACTTTACATTCCCTTAAATGAAAAGTCACAAAACAAAATCAACAACAGGAAGGAAAAATAAAAGAATTAACAACACCATGTAGTTAAATAACATGCTACTGAATGACTAATGTGTCACTGAAGAAATGAAAAAGAATATCAAGAATCTTCTTGAAGAAAATGATGCTATTGTATGATCTATGAGTCATAGATTTTAATGAGAAGAAAGTGTTTTGAAGAGGTGAAAGTAACAACAAAAAATCAACTTCTATGAGATACAGTTGCTGCTGATCATTGCTGGTGAAATGTGTCTCCTGTAGGCAACAGAGAAATGGGTTCTGTTTTTTAACTCCAGTCTACTCGTCTATATTTGATTGATGAGTTTCAGCCATTCACATTTAGGGTTAATAAGAATGGGTGGTAATTTGGTCCTGATATTTGAGCAATGGGCTGTTCATTGATTTAGTCCTGTGTAGTTATTTTACTGGGATGTTCTTCACATTTGCCTTTGGATTTGGTGGGTGCTACTCTTTTTCTCTGTCAAGAGAACATCTTTAAGTATCATTTGTAGGGCAGCTTTGGGGCGTATTCTTTTAACTTTTCTTCTCTGTGGAAGAATTTTATTTCATTTTCAAAGACAATGGAAATTTGCTGTGTACATTATCCTGGGCTGACAGTTTTTTTTTTTTTTGACTCTGGAATATGTTACTCCATTCTCTTCTGGTCTGTAGAGTTTCCTGTGAGAGGTCTCCTGTGAATTTAATTGGCATTCTTTATATGTCAGTTGATTTTTTTTTTTTCATGTGTGCATTCGAGGATCTTCCTCCCGGTGCAGGGTCCCAAGGCTTTTGGGCCTTACTCGACTACTTTCCCAGGCTACAAGCAGGGAGCTAGATGGGAAGCAGGGCTGCCAGGATTAGAACTGGTGCCCATATGGGATCCAGGTACATGCAAGGTGAGGACTTTAGCTGCTAAGCTACCACTCTAAGCCCGTATGTATCTATGCATGTATTTTTTTAGATTTATTTATTTCTGTTGGAAAGACAGATTTATGGAGAGGAGAGACATAGAGAAAGATTTTCTGTCCACTGGTTCATTCCTAAGTGGTACAACAGACAGAGTTGGGTCAATCTGAAGCAGGAACCAGGAGCTTACTCCACATCTCCAGGGTCCCAAGGTTTTGGGGCATCCTTCACCGCTTTCCCATGCTACAATTAAAGAGGTGGATGGGAAGTGGAGCAGCCAGGACACCAATTCGCACCTATCTGGAATCCCAGTGCTTAGCAGTGAAGGATAGTCAGTGAGGCCATGGGCTAGCCCCAAGCCCATCTTTTAATCCTATGTTTTCCCTACAAATTCCTGAAGTACCTTCATGCTTAAAGATATATAACTAACCACTGAGTGAATTGAACTTTTTTTTTAGAGCAGCTCTCATTTCATTATTTTCTTCAATTAGATTTAAGGTCCTTATATCTTGTTTTATACCTGTGGCACCCATAACTGGGCAATCCTGAAGGATAATACCATGGGTTCCAGTTCATGTCCTGGTTCTACTGCCCATCCAGCTCTCTGCTTGTGACTTAGGAAAGCAGTAGGGGAGGGTCCAAAGCCTTGAAACCCTGCAACCACTGGAAAGAAGCTCCTGACTCCTGGCTTCGGATTGGCTCAGCTCTGGCTATTGCAGCCACCTGTGGAGTGAACCAGCAAATGGAAGATCTTTCTCTGTCTCTCCTGCCTTTCCAATAAAAATAAATCTTTTAAAAATCTATGCACTCTGGCATGGGACATGGGCCTCTTAGCGGGTATTTTAACCGTTACACCAAATGTCTGCCTTTATTTGTTTATATTTTTAACAATTTAATGGTGAACCTTAGCACTCCAGCACCGGGATCATCATGGGGCTCAAGCACCCACAATCGGTGGATGAGCTCCATGGAACCTAACATGGCGAAGAAGATGAAGGAGACCATTAAACAGAAGAGCCTTACAGTCTCAGACAGCGCTAAGTGCAGATGGCGTAGGAGAAGTGCTGCTGCCAAACACTGTACCAGTGTTCAAGCTGCCAAACACTGTACCAATGCCAGCACCTGAACAAGCCACACTAACCATGACAGGCCCAGCAGCAGTGAACATGGCCACCGTGTCAATGTCCTGGGAGATAACACTGGTCTGAAACTCCTGGTTATTGACCTGGAGTTGGCTGCTGCTGCAGGAAGGTTGTTTAGGTAACTTCTCTGGCCTACTCAGGAAGGAAGTAGGTGTAGGCCTGAATAAGCTCCTGGTACAACAGCAGACCAGAGCTGGAAGAAATGAGTAGTGACCTGGTGGCCAGCAGCCACCCATCCTTCAGTCTCCCAATTAGCTGCCGCCCCAACCCCCTGTGTGTTTCTTAAAAACAA